CACGGCTCTCAACAAGAAAGGCTTTGCGTTTGAATAGTCCCGAAATGGTGGACATCAGAATTGGTGGGATTCATGAAACTAATCACTTTCAAGGTTCCCCATAGAAACTCTTGGCCACCTCGGCGTGTCATTAGAGTGCCCCTTTTTGGATGATTTTAAAGGGGAAGCCAAAAGGAAACCGCAAATAGCTGAACGCTAAAGGGGCTCTAACTTCGAATAAAGAGGGGAAAGTGATTTGCGAGATTGATGGGCTGGTGCTAGGAGGCGTGTAGTTTGAAGTGCTGGTGTAGGTGCTGTGTGCTTGCTGTTTGAGGTAGTGGTGGCAGTGCGGGCACATCTTTCCAAGATTAACGGTAGGAGGCATGCAGAGAGGGGTGCTGTTTGCGGCGCTTGAGGTGCTGGTGCGGATTGGAGATGCTGGCGTGGGCCCATGTTTGCGCGGGGGCTCAGCCTGTCGTAGCTTTTCCCGAGGCCGACCATGTCGTTCATTCAGGTTGATTTGCCCTCCCATCCACATTGCCATGGAAGCTGATCGTGGGGGTTCCTGAAAGACCAATCTCCTCCAAAAGGCACCCTTTCTCTGGCGGGGTTCATGTTGTGCCAAAGGGTAAGGGAACCAAAAAGCCGCCTCAAACAAGCACACGCCTAAGCCGGAAAGGCCCCATGGTCCGCGCGGCATCCGCGCGACCTCCGCGCGCGACAGCCATCCGCGGCGATTGAGCCGCCTCTCCGCGCGCGAAAGCTGAGCCGAAGCGCCTGGTCTGTGAAGACGTTGGGGCGGCCCGCCTGGTGGAGGTGATATGCCGCGCCATAGGCGCCAGAACTCTACTTAGATGGTCTGGGACTTGGCTAAATGGTTAACCTAGTTACAGGGGACTTAGAACCATTGTAAGGTTACAACCAGGGTTACTAGTCCTTTAGCTAACTCCCAGACCATCCAAGTAGGGGTTGATCTCTTGTCGGTTCTTTTCAGCCATCGTTCTTTTCAAAAACCCATCGCAATTTCCAAGCAGGGTTTTTGGTGGTTTTCGAGAAAGATCCAGATCCCTGGAAAGAATGGACATGGAAGTTACCCCTAGAACGGCAAGGGCTTGCCCTCTTCGCCCGGCCAGATTCGTAGCTCTCCCAGAACGAGTCCACTTTGCGGTGCATATTCTCTCTGCAGTTGGGAGCGATGCAGTGGCCCCACGAATTTAAACTGGGCTGTCCGATTCGGATCCCCCGCGAAAGCTTTTGACTGTTTGTGGGTTGAATGGCCCCCCACCAAACCGCAAAAAAGACTAGACACCTAGGCGGGCGGCTGAGAACCGCCGAATATATTGGTGACCCTTTGGTGGACATCATCTAGCCACTTTTCAGGGATTCCCTGGTGGAATTGGTATCCAAACTCGTTGTCAAGAGATACAACCGGATCATCCGTGTCTGATCGGATGGTGCATGGCCCTCTTGCAGTAGACAGTGCGTGTGTATGTGTGTGTGTGTGTGTCTCGAAATAGGGTCAACCATCCAACCAACCCAACCCAACCCAACCCAACCCAACTCACCCACCCACCCACCCACCAACCATGCGTCCATCCAACCAGCCAGCCAGCCAACCAACCATGCAACCAACCATCCAACCCCCTTCTGGCTTCCCTTCAACACCAAGCAAAGAGTTGATACCTTCCTTATATGTATGTCACCAGCTTCCCAGCGACTTGGGGCCGCACTCCCGCGCCAGGATCGCCAGAATCCTCACGCTCGACACGCGCCAGGATCGCCAAAATATCCCCGGCGCTCCGGACCCCGGGAACCTGGGAGTCTGCCGTGGGAACCCCTCAGGCCGGCGTCAAGCTAGATGCAATCACTCCCCTGGTAAGGTAACTAGCAGAAAGAAGCTGAGGGCGAATACTTCGGTGAATAGACCTTGTATTTTGTGGCGCTTGACGCGCCCAAATCGCTGGAATGCTATCGCCAACCCGTGTTTATGTGTGGGCGGTCCAGCCACAAAGCCTTTGCCAAACGAAAGCACGCCACTCCTGCGGTGCTCAGAAGATCTGCGATGTGGGCGTGTCTCAAAAGGGGGGGAACCCTGAAAATTGGCCGTTTCCCTTTTGGCGTCCCTTTCAAACCCAGCCCAAAGGAGGGTCCCCCAAAGAAAGACACATGTAGCTCTGATTCGTATCTTCCCCTGGGAAAATCCGCTCACCTGCTAACAGGTTTTTTTCCCTGTTCGACCGAGTCGATCGGGTCGACTCGGCCAAGGAAACAAAAGGGAGGCCTCCGATTTTCTTCGACTGGCCTGGTCACTCGCTGCATTCGCTCCTTCCCCCCCCCCCCCCCCGCTGAAAGCTCCGCCCCGAAGAAGCCAAAGGGGAATGAATCCGCTTCGGGTGAAGCAGAAACCCTTTCCCAGCGCGGAGCCCCAGCGCCTGAACACTCCGAGCTGCGCTCAACCCGTCCCAAAGGCCCAAAGAAGCTCCAGCGTCCGAACCGGAGCTCCTCCTGCAGCGCTCTCTGGAACTGGCTGAAGCTCAGCCTGCGGGACGAGGCGCCTCGAAATGGAAAAAACCGAGACCGTCTTGCCCGCTTGCTAAGGATGTTCGGCCGAAAAACCAAGCACAGATCCCCAGATCTTTTTTTAGAAGCCGAAAAAAGAAACACCTTCCTCTTCTACCTCAGAACAAAGGACTTCAGGGTCAGCCACAAAGCAATACCAGGCCCATGCAAAAATAAATCCGTCACCCTTCGAACGGGTCGTTGGCTTCAGTCGGAATGGGTGTTGCAGGCTTTCAAGGCCTGATCAAACAGCGCTTTCTGAGAAATCGGCTTGCCGCTAATGAACATCCATCCAGGCATGTCTGTTTTTCAGGATTCGGACCCAACCAACATGTGGTTCTCCTTTTGGTTTCCCTTTAACACCACGCAAAAAAAAAGGAGCCCTCAAAAAAGAGCTGGCGCTGTGGGCGCGGGGGGTCCTTCTCAGGATCCGGGCGTCTAGGATCGGTCTGTTTTTGGGCGTGGGCGTTGCCTCTTTTCTCCATCCGACGTCAGCTGAGGGAACCCTCCGTTGATGGAATCTCGATGGGTCTCGCTCCGAAACCCGGAAGAAGAAAAAATGTGTTGCCGAGAATGAGGCGCGCGCTCGATTTTTGTTGCGTTCAAATCGTCGGCATCTCTCGCCCTTTTTTGCGACCGGAGATGTTGGCAGTGGCACGGTGCTCGTTTTCGCGGCGGTGCTCGTTTTCGCCGCCTTTGCAGAGCTCAAAGGTCCGAAGTCCGAAAACCGGAAGCAGATCATCGCTTCACCAAGAAGCACGCGGTCATCTGAGCAATACCTGGAGTCTCCATGACCCTTTAAAAATGGGTCCATGACCCCATTATTTTGGGGAATGACCCCATTTTTAAAGGGTCATGGGAGACTCCAGGCATTTATCAGCCTTGAGGAATGGGCTGAGAGACAGATTCGTATTTCTGGGCTCAAACCCGCGCTTTCTGCATCTATACTTGCGCAATACTTATATGACGCAAAAAACCAGCGCTTAACTAGTACTAAGCCGCCAAGTAGTGCTCAAGCAACGACTCCTCCGGAATTGCTTTAGGGTTTGCCCTTTGGAGCCCCTTCGAAGATAGTTGAGGAGACCTTGACTAAACCCCCAAGCGTAGGCTGTGTGAAGAAGCCTTCAACTTGCGAGCTATAATATGGCTGTACTATATGCAAAGGTCACGATGGGTATTCCGCAAAAATAGGCACCAATTCCTCCAGGCAGGTGATTTCCATTTGGTTTACATTTAAATCCATGCAAAGGGGGGTCCTCTATTTGGAGAAACCCCCGTATGACCCGTGGACATGGTTGCCCTGCCGAAATCTGTGCCATCTGTCGGCTCAGAGTGTCTTATCATCGACACGCAAGGAGACTGCTTACACTACAAAGCCTCATTTTTTGGGGTTTGATTTCGCCATCAGGTAAAACCAATGCCCAACTTTGAGACACGTGGATGTTCGGCCCTTCCGGCCCCCTGGAAAGGGCTTTGAGCGGATTGATCAAAGGGAACCCTAGGCAGAGGAAGAAGAAAACCGGAAAAAAAAAAAAAAAAAAAACGGGCGGGTCGTCCAACAGGGAACCAGAACCTTCCCAGAAAGGCACCCGCGGGGAAAGGGCCAGACACGGCCTCCCAGAGCCAGCATCCACGGAGGACAAGAGCCGCGCCTCGGAGTCGGTCTCAGCTTGGTGTGCCGCAACCCTTGGTAGCAAAAATGCGTTTTCTCTTGCAGCCCCCTACCAAAAAATGAACAGAATTAACAAAAACAAAGAATTTTGCCAAGAACAGTGAAGTGTTGGCCTCCCTAAACCCAAGTCCGAATTCTGAAACTTCTAGATACGAATGGTGATGTCATCATTTTCAACCCAGGTTGGTTTGCTAGCTTTTCCAAAGCAACCAAGAGGGGGCTCCCACTTGCAAAGAGCAGACCCTCGACCAGAACGTACGCCCCTCGCGAATGATATGCTTGCGAATGATATGCGCGCAACGCGCGACCTTTCTCCAGCACTTGCGAAGGGATACGGTTTTGAGAGCATTCTCGTGCCTACGTCTTGCCCGAGAAGACCTCTGCCCGAGCGAATTCGCTGTGCCGGCCTTCAGGAATTCAGGTGGCAGGCGTGACCTTTCTTTGACCCTATGGGAGCCCCAGATGAACGAAGCGGACATCACCCGGATCGAGCTCTCTCTATGGCTTTGGACCAATCCAAGGCTCCCATCCATTTTGAAACGTCGCATGCAGGGGCACTCCGGTGTATTTCCCTTCTGCGTCAAACCCCCTTAGCTTGGCCGATGGCAAAAACCCACGGCATATCAAAGCACTGCGCGCTCTTATAAATCAAGCCTCAAAAGTGGCGGCTGGCCAGACTTTGTTTGGCAAGTCGCTGCCAGACTTTCCTGGCCAGCCACGCAAAACGGGCACATGCTTGGCCGGCTTGGTTTGGGGCCTCCAGGGCGAAAAACACAACGTGACTAAATCGTGGTTCACCAACCCATCACCACACACCGATCCTCAGGAAAACCGAGCGGATGATTCACACGCGCACCGGCCACTTTTATTCGTGGCCTGGCAGGTGATGAACTGCCTGCACCGAGGCCTCATAGTTCTTCGGGCAAAAAAGGCAGTGGGCACATCAGCAAAACGAAGGCACTTTTTGGGGAAAAAACGTAAAGGAAATCAGCCAAGGGGTGTTCAGCATAGGCCCCAGATAGAAAGAATGAGTCTCAAGCCGTGGTATGCTTGATTTTCGCTACGTCGTGACCTTGGCCGGTGCAACAGCGCCTGCCCGCGCAGATCTTGCATCACGCTCGCGAGTAACACCGCGCCGCGGAATCAGCGCGCAACTTCATGTTGGAGAACACCATCTTCCATCACCTGCTCTCACCTGCTGGCACCCTGCAAACGCTGGCATCCTGCCAGCAGCGTCATGCAACAGCACCCTGCAAATTGATACCTACACCCTGTGTCACACGCACATTCCCCCCTCAGGGTTTAGCTATCGGCATGACCATTTGACTGGGAGCTTCCCGAGATAAAGTCACAATGGCAGCGGCCCCGCTGGAATCCACCTCACGCCGTCGTCGCGGCGCGATTGACGCGGCGACGCCGGCTCGACTTCGAAGCTACTGCAGTCGCTTTTGTAGCACACGTGCCTCATCATCTGCTGTGACCTCTCATGCCGGTTCTGCACATCTGGCATCTTCACCTGAAGTTCAAGCAGCACAGCAAAGCACGGGTCGATCTCCAAATTCCATGCAGCGCATAAGATTCGGCTGCGAAGGTGTTTCATGCTCGTGCTGGCACATCCAATGCTGCGGCAATCTAGGCATGCCTTTCCCAGCATCAAACAGCATCAAACACTTAGCACACCTTTTGGGGCTTCCTTGCGCCTTTCTTTTCAGCTAGCGGAGTTGCACTCCTTGTCAGGGGTCTGGCAGTCTTTGGCTCGTGCCAAGGTGCGCGAATGCCTTCTTTTGGGCGTATGCGGCACTCACATCCTGCTTTCTACAGATCTTTCACGCTGACCTGCTCTCTGGGGTCTCTACCGAGCACCCAACCGATTTCTCAGACAAGGGTTCGAGCTTCCAGGTCGCGCGCCCTACCTTGCTCTGCCTATGGCGGCTGCTGTCTCAAGCGGGGCGAGTGACGCTTGCTTAACATCTTCAACACCTCTCCCCCGTTCCGCATTCCCGGCCCATCAGCATTGCTCTGGCGCCTGCACCACTTGCCGACGCAACACCTGCACCCGGCTTTGGCTTCCTTCTCTTGTCCTTGGATCGCCGGCTCATTTGGGAAGCCAGTCGCACGGCTTTGTTTGAGAGTCGGCAAGAATCCGCGACTTTCGCACCATCAACTCAACAGTGCTCTATCCGAGCAAAAGACACAGCCGCAGCGGAGATTACGTGCAACCTGGCTAGCAGGCTAGCCTCACACTTGCATGCTTGGGGACTGTCGGGGTCAAAGAGCTCACACTATCCCAAGGACAAGAACTGGAGAAGTGGGCCGTAATAATTTGCTCATGCATCATTCAGCAGTTCCATTTCGTGCTCGGTGCAACTGCCGTTCACTAGTGCATGGAAATGTTTGATCTGGAAAGCTTCAACGAGCCATTCTGGCTCCCAGCGGAAGTCAACCTCTTCCACGCGCAGAAGCTGCCGTCCGCAGCAAAGCGCAATCATCAGATTCCCTCTAGTTGGTGGTTTGGTGATTCGGTGGACCCCAAAAGCACCACAAGAAAGCGGGACCCCCAACTTGAAAAGACCAATCCAAAACCACCAACTCGAGTTACCTGAAATCACGGCCTTTCAAGGGAAGGCCGGCAAGGCCGCTGGCTGGGCGGGCTGGCCACTGGTTCTTGGACCAAGCGCCAGTCTCCTGCCTCGGCGGGACCTGGCACACGAAGTTCGGGTCGTGTTGCGCCGAAAGCCGAACCAATTTTCGGACAGAAGCCAAAACTGGCCTCATTGTTTGGTTCAAGGTAAACAACCTTATATTGCGACTTTGATCAAAATAACGACCCCAGCAAAAGCCATGAAACCCATGAAACCCCTGCAAAAGCCATGACTTTGGTCAAACAAACCCATGGAACCTCCTGCAGGAAAACCCCCTGTGCAGCAAAAAAAGGAGCCAAAGGAGACCTTCCAAACAAGCCAAGGAGCCATCGGAACCCCCGCAGATTTCATCCAAAAGCATCCACACATCCGAGAGGTCCTCCAGATTTGAGAGGTTAGAATAAGTTGGTCCCCAATTTTTTCGGTTTTGTCTATTTTAGTAGGGGAACCCTCCCCAAAAAAGTTGGTCAAAGGGCACTACTGAAAAACCTAGCATCCCTCCCTTCCGAAACCAACGGTCCGTAGCTCCTGGATTTTTGGGAGACGCTCGTTTGCTTTCCCACTTTGCCTCCACAAGAGCCAGGTTGAAATCTCCAAGCCAAACCACGCCGAAGGGCTACGTGCTTTGCCGGTGCCAGAAAACGGTTCGGCCACATGCCCAGTCTACCCCAAAGTCCGAGCCCGAGCCGGACACTTTCCGGAAGAAAGAGGCCCATGCAAGAACTTGCTCGCCCATGGACCAACTGATCAACATGTTTGTCAGTTCATGTGGACGATGCTTCCTTCCATGCGAAGAGGACAACAAACAACACGTCCATCCCAGAATCCGTGTCTTTTTGTCAGCTTCCATGATTCCGGATGGCGCATTGACGTTCCTTCTCCTTGGACCAGCCGACTTTCGGGGGGGCGGAAACCACTTGCTTCGGTTTGCACCCTCCGTGAAGGTCCCTCACAATGCGGCGGCGCTGCTTTGGTACACGGTGCCAAAAACCAGCCTTCATCTCGACATGATTGGTTCCCTCAGGGTTCCTGAAGTCAACCAAACATCTTGTTGAGGCATGGTCAACAGATACTTGTGACCACACCTCGGATGCCTTGGTTGCAGTATGTCCCGTTTTCGGAAAATACTGATTCAGGTGGGTTTCATGCGCATACGCACACGCGCACACACACACACACACCAATGAATAGAAGAAACCTGGAACCACCTCGACCTGCTAGTTGGACATCCCCAAAGACACCCTGCTCAAACCCTCCCACGTCAGAAACTCCCCCCTCCATCCAGAAGCTTTGGATTTTCTCCGAATCATAAGGCTTCGTCAAAACATATTGGTCCGTCCGGATTGACACGGATTAAAGATGTAAGCGACGGTCCATTCAGCAAGAATCCATGGGCTTGGCTTATTTTGGTCTTCCCTTTGCTTACGCCCTTACGCCTTGTTACTCTGCAGACGACTAGAAAAAGAGTGTTGGAAGGTCCGCTGTAAGACACAAACAATTTGTTGAATACACCCCGTTTCATCGTGGTGCCAATGGTCTGAACAGAAGGATCCTCAGACACATTGGGGACGTGCCGCTAGAAGCATTGACCGATGCTCAGTGACCTGTTGGGCACGCTTCAGCCAGCGGCCGGGTACCAGAAGGCTGGCTTCAAAGCGATTTGAAGAGTGCTTCAACATCCATTCTTCGAACAGACTCCGTTGCAAATCTCGCCCAACGTGGGAAAATCAGGCAAGCCGCCACGGAAACTCAAAGCCTCAATAAGAAAGAGTACCATGAGCAGGGGAACAAAAAGATCGGCACTGTTTCCCTTTAAACCAACCCAAAAAAAAACTCGGAAAGGAGAAAAATGCTATGGCTGTTTCTCCAACTTAGGGAACCTCCAGGTGGTGTGTTTCCTTTGTGGTTTCCATGTCCAATCATCCCAACAGAATCCCCTACAGTGGACGAAATCCTGCACCACCTTTCAGAAACCCCGGCTTCTGATGATTCCACCGTAAATACCCACCAACGTTCCGGTTTCATTCCCATGGTTTCCAAGTGGTGCCATATGCATTTCTCAACCATCCACTGTACTTCTCGTTGCTATTTCCATTTTCCTCTTGCTGGGCTTTGCAATCCCTTGTGCTACAGAAATGGAGATAAACCCCGAGTGATCCCACAACCCTGATCCCAAGAGAAGTCCCAGACCCATATGGGTCATAATCAACACCTGGTACTGATATGCTACACCACCGTGTAAAGAATTCGCAAGCCGGAGATCCGATTCATGATGGGTCCCTAACTTTTGAAACAAGCAACTAAGGGCTGGGATTTTCAAACCTACCAACCAACATTCTGGTTTCAACCATAGTTTCCAGCATGGTTTCCACCATTCTTTCCAGTGGTGCGAAAGGGAAAAAATCACAGTGGGGATAAACCCCAAGTGATCCACAATCAAAACCCGGTAAAAAAGAAGGTGCACCCAGAACCATGTAATGAATTAAGAAGGCGGAGATCCGCAGCTATTTCTGGTTGGGATTGTCCCTAACCTTCATCCTAGGCTGGAAAAATCGGACCCCAGCAAAAGATTATCTTTTTTGCCTGGTGAGTGGAAAACGAAAAAAATATCTGGGGGTTTTGCATCTACCCGAATCGGTTTTGAGCAGCGATCCTCCGCGATCCTCGCCTCAGGTCTCCGCTCTCTCCGCGGCCTTCTCTGAAGCGCGGCTCCAAACGCAGAGATGGCAGCGCGGGCACTCAGAGCCTCGAGGCCGAATAAAGAAAGGGCGCAAAAAGGGGGACGTCCAAACCGGCCCAGGTCTGGCGGCTGGGTTGCATAGAAGGTACCTCCATTTGCATTTGGTGCCTTTTCGGCTGGGAAAATGGAGATGAAACACACTGCGGATGGACGAAATCCTCTTAGGCACCGCCTTTCAGATGACTCCCCGACGTAAATCCCAACAAACCATTGTGGCCCATGGTTTCTACTTGGTGCGATTTCTGGATTTCGCAACCATCCGCAGTTTTTGTTAATCGACCTCCCCAAGTCTGCGGGTTGCTTCAGGCTTACCCCAAGCCCCGCCAACTTCACGACACACACTTCAACCCCACCCCAACCCCAACACCCCGTCAACAACTCCACTTTCACAACCCAACTGCAGCCGAATTCCAGGCCCAGTTTCTAGATGAACCGTTTCGGGGGAAGTAAGTGAGAGGGAGGAGATAGGTGCGCGATAGATGTTTCTTTCTACTTGAATGTAAACAAACGAGAACATGTGTCCAGTAATGGTAGATTCATTTGAAAAAACCAACAAGGGGAAATAGACAAAAAATGAAGCAAATGGATTGTTACGTCTTGCTTTCGCCTAGGGGATTGGGAGAGCGACGCAACCATCCCCCTTGAAAGGGAAACTGGGTGACCCATGGGTAATGGGTGGTCCATGTGGTCTACTCGAACCTAAAAAGAAAAAATCGAATAAGAAAAGAATAATCCCAAAGTGAGGGACAGTGGATGGTTGCGAAATCCAGAAATCGCACCAGTTTGAACGGTGGTGCGAAATGGATTTTGCAACCATCCACAGGATGGGTGTTTCTCAATTTGTTAACCCAAACAAGTTGTTTCCTTTTCGTCTCCCTTTCCGGCACAAAGGTTTCCAGCATTTTCAGAAACCCCAGAAAGAACAAAAACACTTTGTCCAAACTCCTTATGACGGTGGCTATGTCTCCGTCGGGAATGCTACCCTACGCACAGGAACCGGTGGGTTGACGCACCGTGCTAACTCCAAAGGGCTGGCAAGGGGCAAGTGGACCCCATGGGGTTTTGAGCAGCCAAAGAAATACTGCAAGTACTGCCCCTCACGCAAAAAACTCAGAAACGCCCCTGGGCGAAGTACCCCCGAACTACTTCCATTTGGTTTTGGCCCCAGGAGAAAGTAACAATATGTCTAGTGATGATTTCCTTTTAAAACCAACAAGGGAAAATAAGAACAAATATTTTTCAGCAAATGGAGGAATAAGTTAAAGGGTTCCATGTTTGAAAGGCGGGCATTGGACCCACCTGAACCGGGGGAATTCTTTTGACAAATGCCGTTGCAATGGCATAGTTTGGGAGAAGCCTCTGACCGGACTCGGAGACATGCGGCCACAGGTGACAGACACATTGCTTAGGTCTCCTGTCTCCCCTTATGGACGGGGACTCCCGGACATTCATTCTCCAAGATGGAATTTGGATCATGTGATCAATGTTTCAGCCCCCGGGGTCCAAGCCATGAAAAAGAAGTTAAAGCCGCCACCATTAGCCAAGGCGTTTCGTCCTCCTTGGGTCTTTGCCAATCCTTTTCTTTTCATGGGGTTGAACCCCCTTTGGAACTGGATCGAAAAAAGTTCAGGAGGCACCAATTGATGCAGATCGTGATGGTCAACGGGTGATCGAGGCCTCGATCTTAAAGGTAAACCAGCCTTGGCCCATTCTGACTTGTGAAATTTTGTCAAAGAGGGTGTTTCCTTGACCGCACGGACACATGTTGGGCGTGCTTGACTTGTGAACCCTGCCAAGCAAGCGCGTATTCCCTTGATCGTGCTTGCGTGCAGGTGCTGGCAAATTGGCATTTGACGCTGAACTCTCGCAAGTAAGGCAGTGGCCCCTTCCTCTTTCAAGTAAGTTGGTGTCATCTCTCGTGCCTATGACCTGGGTTCAGGGGTTCGGGCGGATAAAGTAGCAGCGTAACCCGAGACCTCGAATCGACCTCTAGGGATCTTGTTCAAACCTTTCAGGGGTGGCTTCGGTTTCAAAAAGCTGCTATTCAACGGCGGGGAGGAAAAAAAAGGAGCTCCTGGAAAAGGAATACAAAAAGGACCGAGCAATTCTTCTAAACCCAACTGGTTGGCGGCGGAAGTTGGAACAAGCCATGGCAAACGATCTGACCCAAATGGTCCCACCCTTGCGAGCTGCTTGGAACCCAAATGGAACCAGTTTACCTCTTGGAGGATACGCTTTGACATCTGTGTCCATGAAAGTGACATCCTCAAAATGCCCGGGCCTCATGGCAAACCAATCAGCTTGAACATTTGAGAACCCCAAAATTATGTACACCTGGGTCTCTCTTAAAATACTAGGGCCCCATTTTTGGGGTGGTCTTCCTTGTGGGCTCCAGTTAAAAACCCAAAAAACAACCACACACACACACATACAAAAAAAGCGGGTACCCACTCAAAAAAGAAGAAAAAGGGTGGCGTTCCTGAGCTCCGATCAGAAAAAAAAAAACACAAAAAAAAAGGAGACCAGCTCACAAAAAGGCAAGGACAGACCACCCCCCCTTTTGGCACCAGAGCTGGAGGGTCCCCAGCTAGGCCATGGGCTTTTCAAAACCCAAACCGGTTAGCCCCCAGCAAACATCCCAATCCAACCACTAAAATGGTATCTAATATGGGGTGGTGCACCTAAAACCCCCAAAAAATACACTAAAAATATCCCCAGAATGGGATCCCAAAACGGTTTTGACCACCACAGCCAGTTTTTTCTCCTCTCGCTCGATCTCCGCCCCGATTTGCGGAAACCACGGAAACGGCGATGGCTCGCCTTCGCGGCAGCCCCTCTCCTTGGACGCGAACTTGCAGCCCAATCCCCGGCAGGAAGTCGGATGTCCGATCGTGCCTCTGGAGATTATGACATTCCTCGGTAGGCACCGGGGGAAAGGGGGGGGGGAGGAGGGAAGGAGGGAAGGAGGGAAGGAGGGAAGGAGGGAAGGAGGGAAGGAGGGAAGGAGGGAAGGAGGGAAGGAGGGAAGGAGGGAAGGAGGGAAGGAGGGAAGGAGGGAAGGAGGGAAGGAGGGAAGGAGGGAAGGAGGGAAGGAGGGAAGGAGGGAAGGAGGGAAGGAGGGAAGGAGGGAAGGAGGGAAGGAGGGAAGGAGGGAAGGAGGGAAGGAGGGAAGGAGGGAAGGAGGGAAGGAGGGAAGGAGGGAAGGAGGGAAGGAGGGAAGGAGGGAAGGAGGGAAGGAGGGCAGGAGGGAAGGAGGGAAGGAGGGAAGGAGGGAAGGAGGGAAGGAGGGAAGGAGGGAAGGAAGACATTCCTGGGCTTCAAACCAGGAAGGAGGAGCAGGGGAGCCAAGAGGGAGGGAAGGAGGGCAGGGAGAGAGGGGGCCAAAAGCAGCTGGGTGTTGTCAGGCTTGGAACGGAACCTGCCTGGAACACTTTTGGAATATGCAGCCACGCTGCTTCAGCGTTAAAACGCGTTTGGAAAAACGCGAGGGCAACAAGGGCGGCGTGTGCGTTAGAACAACCTCCTCTTGTTACCAAATGTGCAGCCAATCCTTCGTTCCTAGGAAAAGAGGGTTGGGTAACGTGGCATGGCCCTTGAACAAGGGGGTTGGGCGTTGGGGTTGGTGTCATATGGTTGTTCAACGGGTCTTAGAGGGTTGCTATGTTTCTTCAACAAATGTGTGTGTCACACTACCACGTCCTTACAGAACTGGTAGCTCCTTACCTCCCTAACAGCAGCTCGCACAATTGAAGGGAAGCCTGCAGGCCAGGGCGAAGGCGCGCACGGAAGGCACGCAATGTTAAGAGGAGCTTCAAACAACTCGACCTGGAGGAACCGGAAAGGGTACTTCAACACACACACACACACACACACACACACACACACACACACACACACACACACACACACCTTCCCTCCCCCTTCCCCAACCCCGCTTCCCCAACCCCCCTTCCCCAACAACCCCCGCCCCCACCTTCCCCACCTTCCCCCCCCATCCCCATCGAGTCCAGGCGCTTGGCGCCGCTCGGCGGCACCACCGTGGCCCTCGGCGCGCGCAGGTCTTGCACCGGGACCTGGCCGCCCATCCGCCGATCCGTAAGCCCGTGCTGATGGCGGCGAAATCCATGGAAACCGCGCCACGAAATGGAACCAAGGGACTGAAAGGTCCAGAAGGTTTAATGGTATTTACGACGGGGAATCATCAGAAACCAAGGTTTCTTAGGTGGTGCAGGATTTCGTCCATCCGCAGCATGGCTGCTCGTCATTTTGTAAGGTTGGAAGATTGGCGGTTTTCCAGCTCCGGGCCGGCATGGGGCGCGCCTGTCATCCCAACCGGGCCAACCGAGCCATGACATGTCCTTCACGGCATCTGCCTCATAGTTTCAGATGTGGCCAGGGGTCAAAATCCCGTACCCCCAGTGAACATCCCAATCCCCACTAAAATAGACTAAAATGGGTGGTGCACCTACCCCAAAATGGTACCATTGGTTTTGACCCACGGCCATGTGTTTTCAAACGGAACTTCAGTCGACTTCCGGCCCACCTCTTCCGAAATTCAGTTGACGTGAGTTTTGCTGCTGTCGGCCAATTTAGTCTACGGATCGGGGTGACGCGTATGTTTCGCAAGCGGAAAAGTGTTTCGTTTCCTTTACTACAGCACTGGTGATGCTGGGGGCGTCGACCACTCACTTTACATGACGCACTCTCAACATCTGCTTTTAGTCAACGGAAAAGACTTTCCTTTATTGAAGCACTGGTGATGCTGCAGGCGTCGAGCACTTTCTCTTTGTGCGCGCAAAAGCCTTTCCTGTGCTGAAACACTGGTGATGCTGGGAGCGTCGATTGCATACGGACTGTCGGACATCCTGTCTCCGCGGAGAAGCATTTCCTTTACTACAGCACTGGTGCTCCAAAGCAGACCGAGCCACGTCGAGCTCGAAAAGTGCTACTTCTTCACTGGCTATGTTAAAAAGTTTGATGCAGCCAACCTTTGCTGCGACCACTTTAGCTTGCGGACTCAGCCACATCCACTACTTTTAGTAGCATTTCTAAAACACCGGCGCTGCTGGGGTGTCGACCACTAGAGCTTACGGACGATCGCGGCATCTTCTTCTAGTATGCCAGGAAATCCACAAGCCTTCCTTATTGTGGTGGTCCGAAATCCCTAAAGGGTTCATCACCCCTATAATATCCTCCACCCCAAGGCTCTTCCACAAGAACCTGACTTGGTATGTTCCGGAATTGAGATTGTGTCTCTTAAAATGTCTCTTCGGCAAAGAAACCTCTGTATCTTACACGCTTCTACAGAAAATCCGTCAAGCAGACCTTTCAAAGCTTTGCTACTATGCGAAGTGTGAAAAGTGACAAACCGGGGACTCTAATCTGTGTGTGGGGTATGGAAATAAACCCCGGGGTGGGTCATGTACTCCTAGAAGGGAACCTATGGGCTTGATTCCCTTTGGCAACCAAACAATGGGACCCAATTTGGCAAAGCGAGCCTACCTCTACCCAAGGCGTACATCTACCCTCACACCTTCCCGCATGAGACAAACTATCTCCACTTTTCAGGGGTGCTTGTACATACCCCTTTTACATACCCCTTGGACAAATGAACCCAAAAGGCCTGCTGATGTTCATACCCCTCTCCCCAAAAGGGGTACATATCCCTTACAAAGAGGGTTGGAAACCACGGAAGCCAAGGGGGTATGATCAAGGGGTATGTACTTCCACCCATAGACACTTAGATGGTCTGGGACCTAGATCAATGGCTAGCTTCGCCCTGGTTACAAGCGACATACAACCATCGCTTTGGTGGCATAGGTGTCCTTTTTGGATAATAGATGGCCCTCAAATGATTGAACCACCAGGTAAACCAGGGCTCTCTATTTTTTTACGCAAACCAACCAAAAAGGACACCTATGTTTGGTGACTTACAACCAGGGCAACGCTGGCCATTTAGCGATTCCTCGCAGACCATCTAAGCAGTTCTTTGGGCAGCTGTTTGGGCAGCCCCCTGCTAAAAATGAAGAGAACCGGGGAGAAAAAATGCCAAGAGCTTACTCAATAGCCCTGCTCGCTTCTTGCTTCTACTTCTTGAGTTTGTAAATTTCCCTGATGGAAAATAGATGGCCCTGGTACATGATTGAACCACCGGGCAAACCAGGAATCGCCCTCTATTGTTCAGGTAGACAGGGCCCTCTATTCTTCAAGAAGATGAGCCAACCCCAGCTCCACGCAGCTTCCGCCTGCATGGGCTGGGAGGGGCATGCTGGCTGCATCAGCAGGTGCTGCGCCAGGTTGTAGCCCGCCAGGCCCAAGCCACCTGCGGAGATCAAAACCGATTCGGTACCAAAAAGGTCTACCGGTCTACCCAGAACCACGTAGGAATTAAGAAGGCGGAGATCCGCAGCTCTTTATGGTTGGGCTTGTCCCTTAGCTACCTTCATCTACCCGGGTTTTGACCGTGGCTCACCTGAGGCGGAGCTTTCGAAGATCCGAGAGAATTCGATCCGCGGAGGTGTCGCCGGGTGTCGAAAGGTTGGGGAACCCAGCGAAGATCTACAGGACATGGCCCCGAAAACGCCCGAAGTCAGCGCTACTTTTTTCTGCGGGAAATGCGAGAAATGGCCCAAAAACGCCCGAATTCCGCTGGCTTTTCCTGTAGAGTTTCCTGGAATTCCTGTAAGCCAAGCCTTGGAGAGTGTTGAGCGGGCGGTTTCCCATCAGCCCCGTTTCGTTGCGCCAAGTTGGGTGGCTCAACCTCGTGACCCACCCCCAAAAAAAAGACAGGAAAGACTTACTTCGCTTCGAGCAATCCCCACCCTCCATACTCACGAGCTTACAGCCGTGAACACGGTTCTGTGAATTCAAGCATGGTTTTCGAGTGGCGTGGGGCCTATGACTGCTCAACAAGCTTTGCATTGAGAGCCTTATCCACCTGTCTGTGTGTCAAACTCCACTTGCCTGCGAGCCGAGAACTCAAACATCGGTTCCGTTAACAAAAGCCAAGCGGGGGAATGAACGACGTAGCTTATTCACAACCCCAAGCAACACAAAAGCATCAACCTTTCCGAGCCTCAAGATACACTCAAAACACGAAGGCACCAACGTGAAATGTAAAACCAGCTGTGCGCCGGGCGGGACATTAAGCAAAACCAGACTGGCGGACTGCTCTGGCGGGATACTGGCGGGATCCACTGGCGAGTACTGGCGAGCCGCTCCGGCTCGATACTGGCCAGATACTCGGCAGGATCCACCGGCAAGGGATCCACTCACGAGCTACTCTTCGCGGGACACTCTGCGGGATCCACTGGCGAGCTACTCGATCCACTGGCGGGCTGCTCTGGTGGGATACTCGGCGGGATCCACTGGCGAGGGCGGGATACTTCGCGGGATCCACTGGCCAGCTCAGCGGGATACTCGGCGGCGAGTATCCACTGCCGGGCTGCTCTGGTGGGATCCATCTTGCGGGATACTCGGCGGGATCCACTGGCGAGCCGCTCTTGCGGGACACTCGGCGGGATCCACTGGCGTCTCGGCGGGATCCACGGCGGGACCACTGGCGAGCTACTCTGGCGGGATACTCGGCCTATCCACTGGCGAGGGACACTCGGCGGGATCCACTGGCGGGCTGCCCTGGGTGGATACTCGGCGGGATCCACTGGCGAGCCGCTCTTGCGGGATACTTGGCGGGATCCACTGGCGAGCCGCTCTGGCGGGATGCTCGGCGGGATCCACTGGCGAGCCGCTCTGGCGGGATACTGGGCGGGATCGACTGACGAGCCGCTCTGGCGGGATACTCGGCGGGATCTACTGGCGAGCCGCTCTGGCGGGATACTCGGCGGGATCCACTGCCGAGCCGCTCTGGCGGGATACTCTGCGGGATCCACTCGGCGGGATCCACTGGCGAGCTACTCGGCGGGATCCACTGGCGGGCTGCTCTGGTGGGATACTGGGCGGGATCCACTGGCGAGCAGCTCTTGCGGGATACTGGGCGGGATCCACTGGCGAGCCGCTCTGGCGGGATACTCGGCGGGAGGCGAGCCGCTCTGGCGGGATACTCGGCGGGATCCACTGGCGAGCCGCTCTGGCGGGATACTCGGCGGGATCCACTGGCGAGCAGCTCTGGCGGGATACTGGGCGGGATCCAACTCGGCGGGATCCACTGGCGAGCTGCTCTGGCGGGATACTGGGTGGGGGCGTGGTGTTGAAGCATCGCAAACGCGGATTCCAACATAAAATCTAACAACCTCTTCCTGTCGGGTGGGGAACAAGGGCAAGGGGTGGAATGTTCACCAAGACTCAGACTCAAGAAAAAGGAACCTGCGACCCTTTGAATCAGTGCAGAGGCGAAGAATTGCGTCGACCCCAGCTTCTTGCGGATCAGTTTCCACCTTTTGAGACAATGCTTGGGTCCATATAACCAACATTGTGTGCGGTTCAGGATCCTCCAAACTGGGTCCAATTGGGCGACTCGGGCTGCATCGGCGCAGGGAAATTCTAGGGAGTCTGAAGCACTCGGAGTGGAGGACCCGAGGCTGGAGGCCATGTGCGGCACTTCTTCTGCACTCGTGGCGTGGTTTTCCTACAATCGTCCATTTGCTTTTCTTTTTTTAACGGCCGCTAGGAGGAGCTCCTGTGCCAAGGTCCGTTTGCTGAAGAATATGTTAATTGTCCCTTGTTTGCTTTAAAGGGAACCTATCGCTACTGGAAATTGTTTCCCCCCCCCCCCGGGGGCTTAAGAAAATGGAAGCAATTGGAAGGTGGAACCAATTAAAAAAGAACTGTCCATTCGGCTGTGGTTGTCAAACGGAGGGTAACCCCAAGATGAAATCGTGTGCAAAAAAACAGATTGAAAGGTGGAGCCCAGAATCTGTGACAACTGTCCATTTGGCTGTTGTCAATAGGGTAACCCCACGATGGAATCCTGGTGAATGGAGCGAAGGACTAAAACCTGTGGTTTTGCTGCGGTCAGTCCTGCGTTCCATAGTTCCCAATTTTCATCTCCAAATCTCAAAACGTCGAAGTGTCAGGGCTGCTCCCATTCAACGCATTCAATGGGCATGGAAAACTGGCAACTCTGGAAACGGAAAACAGAGGGCCAACTTACCCATCTTCGACCCTTTAGGGTCTTTATAACATGGAACCCACCGATCGGGCGCCCCCTGTCTGATTGGAATTTTGTCCAGGGACCCGGTTCCTGTGTTCCATGTTTGACCTTTGCGCACTTGCAAAACCCGAAACCCAGGCAGCGTCTCCCATCACCAAAACACCTCTCTGCATCACTCGCCTCAACACCCCCGAGCCAAAACGCCCAGAAGGTTACCCAATACAAGGGTACCCTCTTGCCAGAAGGGTGAACCCCCGAACGAAAACACATTTTCAGGAGTTACCTGATACCAGGGTACACCTTTATGGTGGAAGACTATCATACTGCGCATGGACCAGATCCTCTTAGGCACCACCTAAAAAACAACCCTGGGATGATTCGATTCCCCGTTAAAAATACCAACCAACGGTATGGCTTCATTCCCATGGTTACCCCCAAGGTAGTGCGATTTCCGGATTTCGAAATCCGCCATCCACAGGGCCTCTCAAAGCTGAGCCCAAGTCTCCGAGCCCCGCGCCTCCGCCGAACATCCCCGGGTGGATGGGCGTGGGGTCCGGGGTGTTGAAGGGCATCAGCTTCACCGGAGTCTGCTCCTGACCGAGTCAGCTGCCCGCATGCGACCCGCACGAGAAAAATCGCACGTGTCTGGAGTCTGTAAGGTTTTTTTTTGCAATGAAAACTCGATTTCTAAACTAAACTCGGTTGCGAAATCTGCGAAGCCCTGCTGAAAGTGACTAATTTTCGGTGGTTTAATGGAAAACCCATTCGTTGGATCAAAAAGCTAAAGTGCTAACATCCAAGCAAAATGCAACTAAGTAAATCATTAATTTGATTATAGGCGCAACGCATATACCTTGATGTGTCGAGTAGGTAGTGATTGTACACTCAGTTCGCACTTGGAGAGCGTGGCTTGGGTAGCGTCGTTACGGCTTGGACATAGGGAATGACCCCCAATCACTTTTACGGGGGCGTTACACTTTCAAATTCGTAGCCAGGCAAGTTATGGGTATCATCTTTCGAAGGGGAACCACATCGATCCACGGGTCAAGCCGTTGCACCGTCATCTGTTGCGTTCAGGCGTCTTTGTGAAGGTTCATAAGCGACTCCCTTAATATTTAAACGAAAAAAATGACCGGGGCAAAAAAAACTATGACTTTAATATTTAAATGAAAAGAATGATTGAGACAAAACAACGAATATGACTTGCCCATGGCACCAGAAGCAAAAGGTGATCACCTTTGGGACTAAGGAACATGGAGACAGACATGCCCCGGGATCAGTGGCTTCGAAATGGAAGGCATCAGACCTCCGTTCAAAGCGATCCGAGCACAAAAAGAATGATACATTGATATGTGTATATATATATATATAGATACACAATGTGTGTTTACATATAATATATACATATATATGTATATATACATATAATATGATATATACGGGTGTCTTTTTTGTGGTGTTAAGGGGAAACCAGAACAAACACCACCATTGTGGGAGCTCAAAAAGAAAAACAGACAACCCCACATGGGAGTTTCTCAAAAAGGGACTTTAGGTTTTTTTCCCTTGGAGAAACCCCTTCAAGGCCGTTCAAGAATACTGCCCCAATCACGGTCAACGTGGTTGGTAGCAACCTCCATGTTCGAATGGCAATGACTAGAGTAGATGACGGTGTGTGTGTGTGTGTGTCTGTGTATTGACTGTTGCTCATGGCATTCAAGAAAGGTCAATGAACAAAACGGCAGTCATTGCGTCAACATCCACAGAGGATGACATGGAAATTGAGCACGAACGATTTACTAGTGGCTTTTTTGCCACATGAAAAAATAGAGATCATTGAACCCAAGCTTGTTCTTGGACCCAGTAAACCAAAAGGCAAAATATCCAAAACCATTTTGCAGTTGGGTTCTCTGGACCCTTTCATTTTTGTTGGCCGCCGGCATTCTAGTCTTTCTGGCCGATGCCTTCCCTTTGCATGTTGGGTCAGGCTCCGGGAGGTGTCCTTCTGCGTCAGCAGGGACCGGTTCGGCCGCAGGCTCCGCAGGAAGTCCTGGCAACGAACCGTTTCGCTTAGTTGAGGCTCACCTTGCGGATCTTTCCTATGTAACCAGGAAACTGGTTGGGGAGAACCATGGCTCGAGTTCCTTGTCTTCAACGAGGTCCTCCAGTAGAGAGGCCAGAATAGGGGTACCAACTTTTTTTCTGTAGTCTATTTTAGTAGGGGAACCCTCCCAACCAAAAAAGGGTGGGCAAGGCACTACTAGAAGACCTAGTTCCATGGGAAAAAGGCGTTGTCTTCCTTGGACCAGACTTTTGTCCATGAGAAAAAGGGGCACTTGGTGACTTTACAGGGAAGACAAGCTTCTGTTTAAGGGGGCAAAAGGGGGTGTGGGTTGGAGAAATCTGGCAAAAATTGGGCAACCAAATGGTGAGGCCGGCGTTTGATGCTCCCTGAAATAGACCAAGCTGTGCAATAGACCTTTGCATTTCAGTCGAGCACATGTTACTCGGTTGCTTTCTGCTCCCCTGCTAAAAGTTTGACTTTTAGTGGTTTAGTGGAAAACCCATTAGTTGGCAAAAAGTTAAAGTCCTAACAGCCCTTAGCAAAATGCACCAAAGGTTCTGTGTCTCTTTTGTTCCACTGGCACGGGGTGTTTTCAGAGCTTGCTTTCCGTTTGAAGCCCTTTTATGCGAGAGGAGTCCTCAGGTTGACATCAACCTGCAAGTCAGCCAATTGGGATGCAGTTGACAAAGTCTTTGTGCTCAACACACACCAGCCATAAGTAGAAAGTGTCCTTAGATGATGAAAGGCAAATGAAGAAGCAAACAAAAACACAAAGGAACAATGTGAGTCACAATCAAAACCCGGTATGGTTGACCCAGAACCACGTAAAGAATTAGGAAGGCGGCAGCTGTTTCTGGCAAGGGGGTTGTCCCTAACCTTTATCCACCCGAATCGGTTTTGAACATGCTAATGAGAAACAAAGAAAGAAACTGAAAACAGATAAGACACAGAGAAACAAACACAAAACAAAACACACACACACACACACAGATGAGAAACAAATAACTGTTAAAGGATCAGAGACAGAGAGGTTAGAACAAGGGTACCAACTTTTTTCTGTAGCCTATTTCAGTTGGGGAACCCTCCCAACCAACCAATTGTGAGGCTGAGAAAGGGCACCAATTGGACCTAGGTGAGAGATGTCCTTGGATTTTTCCCCAACAAGCTAAGGGGTCTCAGCCCAAGCTTTTGCGGGTGGCCCAGAGCTCGAGCTCTGGAGTCAGGTTCGAGGGCTCCGGAAAAACCCGGAGAAAAAAAGAAGAAGAAAAAACGTCTGGTGCAGACCGCGTGCTGGGGATATCACCTGAGCTTTTTTTTGTTAACGCCCCCGAGATCGGAGGAGATCTCATCTCGGCTTCGGCCTCATTGGGGGACTTCCGCGCAGCCGCCTGGCGCACAACACCGGGCGAAGCTCCGCCGGAAATTTCTCCCCGGCGAAAGGCCACCAGAAAGGGCACCCCCCAGCAATTCACATGGAACCCTTAAAAAAAAGAAAGAATGAACCAAAGAACCCAAAGAAACCAAGAACCTTTGTTGACCTTCAAAACCCCGGCCCCTACAAAATAAAAAACACAAAGGAAGATGGTCCAAACAAGGCCCGCGACCCCCCAAAAAAAAACACGCAGGCTCCGTTTCTGAATTGCTGGAACGACTCCCAAAAAACTCGCGCCCCCGAGCGTCTGACCCGAAAAGATCGGGCCGCGGGGCTTGGGATCGAGGGGCTTCAAATCCGGTGCCCCGGAAAGGAAGGCAACGACCTCATCCCAAAAAAAAAAAGGAAGCTAGCTATTTATGAGTTATGCATTGATCTAATTATTTATTTATTCAAAGAAAAAAACATGAAGGGGCTTCGGGAATCAGGTGGATTTGGGTCCGTGGGCCTGCTTCTTTTTTTGCGGGTCATCAACCTGGGGGCCGGTGTTTTCTGAGCAAAGAGAAAAGCACAGCTTTTCGAATTTGGGCCCTCTAGCTTGAGACACACCCACTTCCTGCTGACTTTTTAAGTGTGCTGAGAATCGATCAGTTCAGCCAGATCTCACCCGATACATCCAAGAGGGCGGTGAGTGGTACATGCAACCAGAACGAAAGAAGTAGCAATGCGCATTGAGATGCGGAAGGCATGCACACAGGATGTGACTTTAATGTTACGTAATGGCTGACCTCTTCTTGAACTTCCAATTTTGAACATCTGATACCCGTGGGCTCCATGAAAGGCACATTTTCAACCGCTGCTTTTTCCTCACGACGAAGATGTCCAACTTGAACATCGTTCTCTGCCCAGTTGGCTGGGACCAACGAGCACTTTGGGGCTTTGATTCCTTGGGGTGGTCGTTTGTTTTTCCGCTTCTGTGCATCTACCAAACTCCTGTGCCGGCTAGGGTAGGTGGCTTGCCTCACTCTGCCCATCCCACGCTCTGGAAGTGCACAGACCCGGTTTGCGGAAAAAACAGAAGAAAAAAAACGTCCGGCCTGGAAAGGGGGATCCTTCTCCGAAAGAAATCAAACTAAAATGAGTGAACCCACCAGGTAAGAAATCTGGATCGGCCGCAATTATTTCCGGCTGGGACTGTTGATTGTGACTCAAATGGCCATGGTTCAAAACCAATGGTACCATTTTGGGATAGGTGAATTCATCACCCATTCTAGAGTGGGGATTTGGATGTCTGGGGGCTAACCGATTTGGGTTTTGAAAAGCCCATGGCCAAATGGGTTTTGGCTCGGAAAAACAAAACTCTGGACCGAGAGCTCCAGCTTGCCTGCAGCAGCGACAAGTAGTCTGGCTTCTCGAAGGGCCTGAGCTTTCCGAAAGCTCTCCGAAATGGATCCTGTGTTTTTTTTGGTAGGCTGTGGCAACCAAAAACCGGAATTCCGAAATGGGTTGCCCGATCGGTAAGTGGAAACAGGGGAACCCAAAACCCTGCGGTTTGCCCCTCTCGTTTAATTTTGAGCCACGCCCACTAGGGAAACCAGAAAGAAATCAACCACTTTAGGGGGTCCATATCTTCAGAAACACCCAAAATGAAATTAAGAGGCATACGCCCGCAGGGCTCTTAAAAGGGGTCCTTAGAACTTGCCGATAGGGGGCCCGAACTTCTGTCCTGGCACGTCGGAGTCATGCTCACTTTGTGCTTTTAGGCACTCCACAAGGCCTTCCAATTGCGCACCTTCCTACCGAGCTGAGACACCCACATCGGCAACCAGGATACAACACGCTGGAATGATCAAGCCATGCCACTGGTCTGTACCCTCCTTGCAACAATGGACCCAAGGGCCGAGGAAAAACGACTGCCGTTTAAGGAACAGCGTCTGCGGAAAAAGCGGCAACTTGGCTGGGAGGGTTCCAACTCGATGTCTAGGCAAGAAAAAGAACAAAAGAAGCCGCGTGAAGCATTGCAGGCAAAACAAGAAACCCGACCGGGCAAACGACGCGGCTGAAGATCAAAGTCAGAAAGTCGCCCGACTCCAGAGAAGGGTCTTGCGAGAAACGACTCGCGGGTGTGTCTTCTTTCGAGGCTAACCTTTTTGGGGGTTGGTTTTGAGGGAAACCAAAAGGAACCGCCTGTTTGAAGCCTATTTCGAGACAAACCCATGGTCCATTTAGGCAAGACATCACACCGCAAAGCGACTTGCAATAGACACATGGGCGTCGTCCAATCCGACTTCACGCCCGTCGGATCGCCGCAGCTCAAGCTTTGTGCAGAAATGGGCATGGCTCGCCAGCAAATTGTTCCCCCAGCTGTGGCAGTTTCTGCGTTGTGTTGAAAGAACGAAACGTAACTGGGGGCCAGGATCTTTTGGAATCGAACTGCTCCGCAAGGTCACGAAGATGCGTAACCAGGGCCCGAGCATGGAAAGACACCTACAAAACTGGTTGACGCAACTTGCTGAAGCCTGAACCATGTTCCGAATGCTGGCCAAAGAGTGGTTTTCTTGTTTACCTACCATACAGGTAAACAAGTCACAGCCCAATTTTGGTACTAGAGTGATCTACAGAATCAGGGCGGTTGCACCTATTCTGGCCAGGACCAGCTTGTACTCTTTCCAGACCTGGGTTTTGATTGTGGTCTCAAACGGATTGACCGGGATTCTCCTCAGAAAAAGCAAGTCCAAAGATATGGCCATGGGCCCCCAGTGAACATCCCAAGCCCCACTAAAATAGGTTCGAAAATGGGCGGTGCACCTACCCCCAAAATGGCATACCATTGGTTTTGACAACCACAGCCATATGGACTGGCGGTTAAAACCGGGGCGCGGCGGCGCTCTCCAGCCCCAGGCTGATTGAGCTTCGCACCACTGGACTCATGGCTTGGTGTCTGATTCGATCTTCCAACGGAAAATACCAGCCAGCGGTCTGGGTTTTTCAGCTTCATGGGTTCCAAGTGGCGCGATGTCTGGATGTCGCAACCATGCACAGTAGGAATGTCTTACAGTTTTTCCAAGTGCCCTAAACTTGCGATCGGGACTGAGGCAATGGATTGACCCATTCCCAAGAACCAAACCCCACTGGTGATGATTTCCTTTCGGGGACCAAAGCTCCTGGGTTTGAACCTCGGGCGACATGTGGACTTGGATAAATCAGACCACTCTTGGAGGGGTTCTCCCCCACCCCCCCTAAATTAATAGACTGCCTGGATCGCCAGTGGCGTTTTTTTTTATTGTTTTTTCCCCCATGCAGCTTTACCCCAAAAAAACACCAAGCAGCAACTTGGCTATCCGGGCGGGGTTGCTTCGGGGCTTCGGCCAGAGCCACTTCTTCGAAGAACGCCGAGGGGCGGCACGCTGGAGCTGATGGATTTCACCTCGCTCTTCACCGACTTGACCTGCGCAAGGCGCGCGAGCGAATCGGCGAGGGCCCCAGGGCCCTGGGGCAAGGCGGTCATGCGCTGGGAGAATTTCCTGACGAGGAAAGAAAAGCACGAAAACCCTCCGTTGTGCCCTTATTTTCAGTTGGGATTCCTTTTTGGGAGTTGTTATTTCACCTATTACATAAGGGAATTGTTACGCTGGGCTTCACTCGGTCCAGGTGTTGCACGATGGTTTCCCCCAGCACATGAGAACTGGATGCATGGGACCCTTGCGAAGACACCTCGCTCGATTGATCCATTCCCGAAATGTAGAGTTTTGCCGAACGGTGAAAGCCATGCTAAGCACATTGGGTGCTAAGCCATAGGTGCTAAGCCATGGGTGCCAACCTTGCCGAATCTTGGTTGACCTTGGAAGGGGAGCAAAGATTCTGAAATTTTAGCAGTTAAGTGGTTGGATTCAACCACTAAACCACGATAAGCAAAAATGTAAAATGTTTCCCAACAACAAGCGTCTTCTAAACAAAATATCTTTGTGCTTCGCCTCCACCCACCCAGGTCTTCGTCGCTCACAGGTCTGCCGTTTTGAAGACTTTGCTCAGACTTGCGCCAAGTGCAGCTTTCCATCCCGTTTTGGGGGGAGTCGGGATCTGTTGCTTTCGGAAAGCAGCCCCCCGGTTTGGCGTGTGACAATCGAACCCTGGCCAGAACAGGGATCCGGATGCATTCTACACCTGAACATTGCAACTGGTAAATGGTGTTGCTCCATTTCTTTATTTTGGTGTTGGTGTTGAAGAAGTAACAGGGTTCAAATGGGCAAAATGTGTCTTTCAAGGAGCTCTGCAGAAAAGAGAGAGTTCCAGCCCGTAGACTTGTTTGTTGCCGATTCCGAGTGCCAAGATCGGATGGTTCAAGGCGCAGCGTGGCAAGTGGTAGTTTCCACCGCTATGCCCGGCTTGTGGATGTCAGCTCATTGCTGCAATCAAGTCTGAAAGCCAGAGAGGGGATACTTGGTGGTTCCCCGCCATCCGGTTCCTTAGGTTTCTTAGATCTTTAGCTGGTCTAGTGGTAGTTTCCACCAGATCTGAGAACAGCCCAGGACAGATCACGTGCTAAGCATGGAACCTTGCTTTTTGGGAAATCCCATTCACCCAGAAGGCCGACAAAGAAATGGCACAAAGTCTTCCAAAGAAGTTTCGGGAACGTCCACGAAATCTGGGAGGGTAGACCAGGGTGTGGACTTGTTCCCCAGGTCTGCGCCGTCAAAATGCGCTTTTCTGGGGTTCGTCCGACGGTCCACCGGAATGTGCACTCTTGGGCCCTGGCGCTGCTGGGAGTATACTGGCGCTTTCCCTCCTTGGATCGCGAGCAGTGCTACCCGCAAGCCTCGCCCCCCAAGTTTCACACACTTTGGGCGAACCCGAAACACCGGGCACGCCAACCACCTGGACAGCCAAGTTGCTGCTTTCTTCCATGCACTTTCCCTAACAATCAGTCACAGTTAGTTGCTGGGAAGAAGCGACCACTGGCGATCCAGGCAGCTCTTTAAAAAAAAGCTCTTAACGCCACATCGCAGCCACAAAACGCCGGCACGCGGATCGATCCATCGATCGATCGAAGAAACATGTTCATTTCTCGCTGAACTCTTCTTGGGTTGGCGTGTGTGCAAAAAAAACAGAGTTTTGGGAAGGTAGTCTGAACAACAGCAAAAACACTTGCATACCCTTCAAACGGAAGCTGGCTTTAGGACTCTCCTGTTATCTCCTGTTGGACGTGAGGTGTTCCTTCCTTCGCGGAACACGATGCTCTTGGTGCCTTGAGGCGAAAGGTGAGGTGTTTTTGCAAGCCGCCGCTTCAAGTGAAGCTCGCTGGAACTTGGCCGTGCGCAAAGTAAGACTGCAACTGAACCTTTGCTCAAACCGGGTTGCTTTTAGTCTTCAGCTCGGCGACGATGCGACTGTTTCTCGCTGAAACTTGGCCCCCCCTGACATCTCGTCCGCGCCCCGTTCAAACGAAAGCTGACAGGCTTTAGGACTCTCCTGAGACTCCAACTGAATTTGCTCTGCTGTTAGTCTTAAACTCGGCGACAATGAGAGTTTGGCTCGCTGAAACTTGGCCCGTTCCCGGTTTGCTTCGGAGAAGTCGGGCGTCGTCGTCCAAGGTCCCCAAGACGGCCATGCCCATGGTCTCCCTGCTGCCTGGCCGACTCCCTTCCCTCTAGCTGGTGGATTGGAGCCGAATGGGTGGTTTGGTGGTTATTTTAGGGGGTGGTTGGTTTCCCATGCTTACCCTTCCAAGAACCAGGGACCCGTTCAAATCCCCAATCCCAACCACCACCAAAAGTTTACTTAACATGATGGTGGTTTGGTGGTTGTGGTTTCCCATTTACCCTTTGCAAGAGCCAGGGACCCATTCGCATCCCAGTCCAAACCACCAAACAAAGAGATACTTGAAACGTACTCCAGACACCTCCACACGCTCCCACGGCACACTTCAGCCCTTGGTCGGACTTTTGGGGCAGCCACGCCGGAAGCCTCCGAAAGAGAACCGCTAGCTCTGGATGAAGCAAGCCATCGCTCGGTAAAAACCACCGAGGTTTTAGGCACTTCGCCGCATCCCTTTGTTGCGGTGGCGGCCATCTTCTCCAACTTCCGTACTTTGTGCCCTGGGCCCAACGGCACTTTCGGGCCTTCGCACCCAAACTGCGTCCCGAGTTCGCGGAAACTTGTTCCTGTCAGATGCTGATTGTGCACGGACTCCAAGCGATCGCCGAAGCTCCGAAGAACTCAGAGAAGACTTTGGCAACCCCGGGTTCAACCCCATTGAAAGAATGGCCGACCCAATTTGGATGATGAAACTCCTTAGCCAAATCATGGTGGCTATATTACCCCTTTGTGTTCATGATGGCTTGAACCCCAGGGCTGAACAGTGGTTTGCTCGAGACAGAGCACGTCACATGCGGAGCCGAGGCCGGGCCAGGGACCGGGGGGCTTGGGGAACTACGGCCTCGCAGGCCTGAAGCCGTCGCTTAACACGAGCGCCTCCGGAACTGTGTGGTGTGTGTGTGTGTGGTTGTGGTGGTTGGGTCTGGCTGGGTCTGGGGTCTGGGGTCTGTCTGCACTCCGGTCCCCAAAATGTGCCCCCGGGAGGTCCTCTTCTGTCCCACGCCCAATTGCCTTTCTGTGCCGGGATGTCCAGATCTGGCCCAGATCGGGGCCCAAAACCCCCGCGACTCGACGCATCTTTCGCCCACGAGCCCCGCCCCCGCCGCGGGAGGAGTCGAGACCCATGGGCGTGTGGGTGGAGTGCATGGCATCCGAGGACGCGGAGATGGAGGGCACCGAGTTGCCCTGCTCCTTGGTCCACGTGCTCCACGCCAAGTGGAAAACCGATGCCCAGTGGAAAACCCCAAAAAGAATCGGCATCCCTTTTTTGGGGTTGGTGCAGCTTAAAAGGGAAACCCTCCCTCCCCCCCAAAAAAAGTAAATAAAATAAAAATACAAACGGCAAGCACCACTTGGCAAGTGGATCGTGGCAAGACGCAAATCGGAACATGGGGTGGCTCGTCTTTTTGAAGATGCCCTGTTTGGGGGTCTACCTGTTTGGACCAAAGGCAAACCCACCGTGTTTGACGCTTTTTTGTCTTTCTTTCTTTCTTTTTTAAGACACGCCCAAATGGGTATGGCTCAAAAAACCAGTACCAAAATGGAACCCTGGCAAATGGAACCCTGGTAAGTACCAAAACCTGCGTAGCCCTAGCTCTTTAATTTTGAGCCACGCCCAAATGAGAAACCCGGAACCTTCGTAGCCCCACCTGAAGCCCCTTGAGTGGCTTTTTCCCTGTACCAGTGGTCACTGGGTGGCCAAAACCACAAATGAGCACAGGGTGATTGGTTTGCCACGGCGGGGTGGCACGTGGCCTGGCTGGCTCGCTTGCCAACTCGCTTGGTTTGGTTGCTTGGTTGGTTGGCTGGTTGGTTGGCTGGTTGGTTGGGTTGATTGATTGGTTGATTGATTGATTGATTGATTGACTGGTTGGTTGGTTGGTTGGTTGGTTGGTTGGTTGGTTGGTTGGTTGGTTGGTTGGTTGGTTGGTTGGTTGGTTGGTTGGTTGGTTGGTTGGTTGGTTGGTTGGTTGGTTGGTTGGCTTCTTTAGCGTTCCTTGGTGTTGTTTTCATTGATTAGTGGCGTTGTGCTGGCATTGCTGGCTCGCTTGGACCGTGACCACTCTCAACCAACCGCCATCCCGCAAAGGATTTGCAAGGTCGCTCTTTCTCGGTAGTATAGATGAATAACCCAACCATCCCCCACATTGGGATGTTTCATTGGGAAAGGGCCACTGCCAGGAAGAAAGAAGTGCTGCTCGGAATTCCATTGCTAACTGTTTGTGTAGTTCTTGGGTTGGACACTCTGCAAAAAAGCGATGGCTGCAGGGCCGGTTGCGATTCCCGTTTCCAAAGGGAGGACGCACAGCTCGGGGAAAAGGCCCGGACCTCTACCTCTTTTTGGGCGGGTCAACTCTATGCAGCTGCATTTTGTTGAGACTAACCCTTTTGGATTGTCTTGATGTTGACCTCTCATCAACAACCAGGGGGGTTGTCTTTGTAACAAAGGAACCCCCACTGAAAAGGGCCCCAATCTGGGCTTGCCTAGATCGCCAAGTTGCCTAGATCGCTGGTAAAAAAAGCAGCAATGGCATCGCTCCAGGTTTTTTTTTTTTTTTTTTTTTTCGGACTTTTAGGAGCCTTCTGGATCCGGGCCTTTTCTCACGTGGCTTTCTAAACGACGCCTTTCAAGGCAACCCTTTTCCTTTTTCCGTTTCGTTCGACCCCCCCCCCCCATCCCATCCCTCCCACCCCCCCCCCCCTCCCCTCCGGCTCCGCCCCCCTCCCCGCCGACGTTCCGAGACTCCGGGAGCTCGATGCGACCGCTGGCACCGAGATCCTGGATGAAGCTCACCACCGCCATGCTCACGTTCTGATGCACCTCACCCCCGTTCCAGTTGAGGTTCTGATGCACCACCTCACCACCTCAACCCGTTCTGATGCACCTCAATCGTTCTGATGCCGGTCGGTTTGGGTTGGTAACCATGCGTCCTTAAGGTAACCTAGTGGCCTGGTAGCCATCTAGCCATGCGTTCTTCGCACCCACGTGCTCGGCTTGGGGGTTCCAAGGTCCTATGTCCTTGACGGAACAAGAGTACCCCTTGGAAACATGAGACCTAAGGCTTGCTGTGCATACCCCTGTCCTTTGCGGGGGGCAGTTTCTGCCCTGGCAAAGCGGGTTGGTAACCAGGGAAGCCAAGGGGCATGGGCAAGGGGTATGAACTTCCCGTAGATCGCAGGTTTGAGGTTGAGGGTTGGTTCCATAGGTGTCGTTTTAGGGGAAACAGATGGCCCTGGTAGATCATTAAACCACCAGGTAAACCAGGGCCATCTATTTTTCTACCAAAACAACCAAGAAGGACACCTATGGTTGGTTCCCATGTCCGCAACCATGCAACCACCTGGTGACCTGGTAGCCATCTGGGAACCATGGGTTGCAGGAACCCGGCTTTGTGGGTTCTAGCAGGCATGAGCCACGGAAAATATTACTTACGTTTAACCAAGCTTTAAGACAACACCAGAATTGTGCTAGGGGTTGGTTTAAAAGAAACCAACAAGTAGAATCCACCATGGCCATCGGAAAACAGTGGAGGAATACCAGAGCTCGAGCCCACAAAATAGGGCACGTCTCTCTGTTGGAGGCGCGGCATTTTTTGGGGGTTGGTTTCAACAGAGAAATGACTTTGTCCGCCTGCATTGGCACAGCGGTTGAACGGATCACACAAAGTGGGGGGGCTAGCTGGCCATTTCCATTGGAGCTCCACGTCTTTTTGGGGCATAAGTTTTGCCCATTCCAAGGAATGCACCCAAGAGGTGGCCCAGGGTTACCTCGAAACTCGGGGTTAGCTGCAGAAGGAGACTTGAAGAAACTTGTAGGGGGGAAGCCTTTTGCTCGGCCAACTTTTGCCAACGTTTGTACCCTTCGTGTTTAGTCACCTTTTCACATGAGCTGATCCGTGGCAAGTCGGGATCCGTGGAACTCCTGAACTTCAGTGGCTGACGGGTGATCCTATGGGCGCACTGAGAGGATTTGGCAAAAGAGATGGGCCATGTCAACCTGCTAAAACCATGTGTTCATCGATAATTTAAGCGACCGGTTCCCTTCTCCAACCGCTGTTAAGAGCCGCTGAAGGGTGAAAGCCACCCAAGGACTGCCAAAATGACCTTATTACCCCCTAGGCACTGTTCGTGAATTGAGGGTTGGGGGGCCCCTGTTGAACTCCCAACAACCATAGGAGCCTAGGCGGCCAGGGTGGTTGCAACATACCTTGCAACGGTTTGGGGGCCCCCCAATCCCCGTCATTCTGGGGATCTTAGAAGAACGCCAGCTCGATCCCGAGGTGAATGAGAACATGTTGGGAGAGAAGTATCCCACCCCATGAACCGGGAGAATCCCCATGGACCGGACGCCCCCTTGTTGCAGGGGGCGCAAGTTGGATCCCAAAAAGACATCACCCCAGGCGAAGAAAGCTCACTTTTTGCTTGGGACCAGGGACCAGGGACAAGTGTGGGGACCCTCTCAGTAGAAAAAGGGCAAAGCCGGAAGGAACGAAATCCAGACAAAAATCGCCATGAAATCCATAACATCTGGTACTTCCAAGGGTTTCTTGGTGCGATTTCTGGCGTTTGCAACCATCCGAAGGACGCCGTTTGCCGTTCCAACCGTTGCAACCCCCTTCGCCTTGTCGATCATGCCGGTGAAAAATGCGAACCTCGGGTTCGCCGACGCGAGGTCCCAGAGACTTGGCCCGCAGAAGAAAAAAAAAGAAAGTGGCGACGGCCGCGCGTGTTTTTCTCCCGTTTCCGGGGGAAGACGACGTCCAAGCATGGCTTTTTCCAGTTGGCAGGTTTCTTCTGGTAAATGGGGCATAAAGCCAATCTAAGCCAGTGGAATCCCATCCATCTAAAAGGGACATCTACGGTGGATGGGCGCATGGTTTCTGATGATTCTGATGATTCCCCGGGAAATACCATGGTTTCTTAGGTGGTGCGAAATTGAGGTCGTCCATCCAAAGTATGCATCCAACACGGAGCCTCCTGATATGATTCATACGCTTGAGTCAAGGAGCGAGCTCAAGTTGCTCCCGGTCGCTGAGCTGTTATCAGAACATGGGGCCCTTGCTTGGCAGTCTTGCCGGTAGGTTCTGTCAACCATTAGCCGAACATGTCGGCTTGCAGAGACCTGGTTCATTCGTGACCATGCCGTGACCATGTCGTGACCATGTGGTAACATGCCAACCCTGAAAAACATCGGGAGCAAAAATCTCAAAACCGATGTCTAGGAAACCCAAAGGACAACAAAACACACATGAACCAACAAAACAAAAGAAAACAAAAACCGCCGATTCCTGCCGTGTTCGGTTCCTTTTTTTGTTTAAAGGCCCGGGAAGTTGCCTCGTCGCCTGCACCCTGCGAAGGCGATCGATCGATCGCGGACGCGGCAAGGGGCCACTCCGAAGTGTCGGTATGCCCCGCGGTCACGGCATTCCTGGGATCCGACTGAGTCGGATGCTCGAGGAATCGCGAAATGGGTGTGCCAGGCTTGCGCAGGTTTTGTCCTTTGGTTCCATTTGCCAAGCTGCCTTTTCAAAGCACACTTATTTGAGCCACAGCCAAATGGCCAAGGCTTTGCGCTTGTGGTACCCAAAGCAATGGCAAGTCCCCAGTAACCAGGGCGAAGCCTTGGCCATTTACCCAGCAAAGCAATGGTTTGATTGTCCCCTACCAGGGCAAAGCTTGCCATTTAGCCATTCGTCCCAGACCTAAGTAATGAAGCTTCGAGTCTGCAAAGAAACCCTTCAGTCAGCTTCCTCTTTGGCTTGGAGATTGGTTTGGGGCTGGCTTCCGATTCGCCCTCAGAAAACCAAGGCATCACCAGCCCAACTCAGGGCTCGGTCGGACTCGAACTGCCCAAGAATCCCAATCGAGAAAACCGCTGTCTCTGGCTGAATAGGCAAACCCTTCTTCCGAATCCATCAGCTGGGGAAGCCGTGCCCTTTCGGATTTGTTTATGGAAGCGAAACGAAAAGGAAACAAACCATTGGTGTGGTCTGAAGAAAACTTTCAGCTTCCCTCCCAGCGGTTTGGCTTGGCGGTGTCCGGGGCTACACCCGGGCAGCTTGGAAAAGGCTCAGGCCACCAGCCGAGCAGGGGGAGTTGAGAGCTTGAGTTCTGGAGACGTCGACGCATCGCCTTTCAGACTGTGCTCCACAAATTGGCCAGAAACTCTCCGACAGGTTCCACTGGCCCCAAAAGCCACAATCCCTAAGCACAGGTACCAAACCAGCAGGTACCTGACAATTCCTCTTAAATCCGAACCACTTACCATGGACGATCCTGTCGTCAGATGAATAAACCTGGAGGGGATTGATTTCCATAAAAGAAACCCAATCGGGGCCGGTTTCTCTTGGGGTCATTCCATTTCTCGTTCCCTGAGAACCAGCAAAAAAGGTTCCTTTTGGTTGAGAACCAGCCAAAAAGCTTCTCCTTTTGGCCCAAAAAACATTTGCCGAGAACTGGTTCCCGCCCCTCAAAAAAATGATAAAATAAACCTGTTGCAGGACAAAAAAGCCAGCCTCCGGCTTCCGACCGAAGGCCGAGACACAGCAAGCAAGCTTTTTGGAGTTGGTACCCTCCCCCCGCAAAAAACACACACACACACCAAAAAAACACAGAAAACGACAACAGAAAAGTAAAGAAGCTGGTTTTCTCTTGAGAACCAGCAAGTTCCTTTGGATTTCCCCCCCAACGCCTGCGACTTCCTACTTGGTTGCTGTTGACCCCGCTGCAAAAAGTGAGTTTCACTTTTTGTGGGGGTTTAGTGGAAAGCCCCACTTCATTTCAACCAAAAAGCTAAAGTCTAAAGATCCGATACCCAAGAGCAGTCCAGCCAAAACAGCCCCAAAACGGCCGAGACGGCCCTCGTTCTCCAAGCCGCTCCGCGCGCTCCACCGCCTCCAGCTCCGAGGTGGACAGCACTGGCGCCTCTGTCAGCCTGCCGACGCCGAAGCCGGGGCTTTTCGGAGCAAAGACGGGGCTCTGGTCTCAAAAAGGGACCCCAAGGCGCCGGTTTTGTTGCTGGAAGAAGAAAAATGGGTCTTAAAGAGGTACCCCCAACATTGGCGCCATGTGACTTTTTTCGTTGACCTTGGAATGGGTCTCAAAAAGGTACCCCAACAAGGCGCATGCCAGGTGTGTGTGCGTGTGTGTTTTTTTTTTTTTTGGAGCTCAAAGTGAGTCTGAAAAGGTGGAACCCCCAAATTGGCGCCATGTTTTTGTTGGTTTGTTCTCCTCTTGGGAACAAGATCGCGGGTCTCTCTCTCTTCTTTTTTTAGGTGGGAACCCACCAACATGATGCGACGGGTTTGTTCCTGTTGCCTGAGAAAAAAGAAGGAAAAAAAAAAAAGGAAGAAAAAAAAGGCCTGAAAAGACGAGGGAGCCATAGCGTGTGCGCAGTTGATTTGGGTGACTTTGGGCCATTTGGGAAACTCAAATTTGAAAACCAAATTCTTGGGGAAATGGCCCATTGAATTGCCACCAAGGAAAACCTCTTTAAAATGGCACAAGGAAATTCAGCTGGGGTGAATTTGGGCCCATCTCAGCGGAATTCCGAATTCACTTCGGCACCTGACACCCAGACACCTTCCGCTGTTCGGTTCTTTGGCTTTGACCTGAACCGAAGATCGAATGACCAAATTTGGGGGGAAGCTGACGTGCAGTTCAGAAGGCGGGGAGACAGTGCTTCTTGAAAACCTTTGGCCAACACCCAACGGTCCCCCAAAGGATGTTCTTCTAGTTTCCCCAAAAGTCATACCAAAAGGGCGGACCATCAACAAGAGGCAACTCAACAAAAAGGCGGCTTAAAACCAAATACAGGGACTGACTTTTCCCAGTTCAGTTCACCTCACCAGGGGCACTGAGCACTGAGGCAAAAACAAGAGTTGTCTGCTTCCACCTTCCACCTACGTCAGGGAAGTAGCTCCAAAAAACGGCTATAAGTGGGACAATCGAAATTGGTTGACTCATGACCATAGTCGCGGCCCAATGCATAAGTCTGAGTGGCGCCCAGATCTGAAGCTGGGCTTTGCCAAAAGGACCTTCAAACAAAATTATGCGAATCATATGGCTGTGGGTCAAAACCCTGTACCCCTGGTGAACATCAAAATTGGTGGTACATGGGTGTTCATCTGCCCCAAAATGGAGCCATTGGTTCTGACCCATGGCCATATTCAGACAAGGCTGGTGCCAATGTAACCCCCCTCTGAGGATTTCAGCCCCCCGCAAAACCGGTGCCCTATCGCCTCAGGCTAGGCAAGAGGCCGCCTGCAGTGGACACCACCTCAGACCTGAGTCCCGGGGTCTTCGGCACATGTTGCTCCTTTGGCTTCTGAGCATGGCGAACTCTCCAACGAACCTCAGCGGTACCTGCTGAAGTGGCCGAACGCCGGAACAACAAAGAAAAAGAGCAGAAAAATGGGAAGCTACATGGGTCTGTTTTGAGGCTACCCGTTTTTCTTTTTCTTGGGGGCGGGAGGGGGTTAAAGGGAAACCAAAAGGCAAACCGATGCCATTTTGGGGGCTCCAAATCCTGAAAAAGGCACACCCACACGGGCGTACCCTGAAAATGGCTGATCTCTCCCTGGTTTCCCTGCCAGCAACATCCGCACGGACCTCCCCCGATTTCGGCCTGAGCACACGGAATCTCCCCCAGACTTGAAGCGACATGAGAAGATGCATCCGGATCATCAAACGCCCCCTGCGGAGGTCAGGATGTTGCTTGGCCACCAGGTCGCATCCAAGTTGCCCAGAGTTGGGTTTGCCTTTAAAGGTGATCAGGGCTTGATATGACTTTGCCCAGAACATGAACAATGCTTGTATAAATTGAGTGCATTCAATAAGGGTCTGATATTTCCGTGGATGGGCGAAATCCTGCACCACCTTTCAGAAACCCTGGTTGCTGATGATTCCCAAAGTGGAAACCAACCAACGTGATGGTTTCATTCCCATGGTTTCATTTCATGGCGTTTGTTCTGGAGTTCGCAACCATCCACAGCATCAATATTCATACCATTCTTTTGCTACGAGGGGTGCCCCGCTCTCGGCCCCAGAGCCAAGGATGTGGCGTTTACCACTCTCACTGTGAAAAAGTGGCTTGCAAGAAAACCTGTAGAAGCTTGTCTGGGCTGTTCAAACCGATCCCCCGCTAAAAGTGTTCAACTTTTAGTGGGTTAAATGGACATCCAACCACTAAACACTGAAAGGCTTAAAAGCTAAGGAACCGGATGGCTGGGAGCCATCAAGTTGTATAATCATCCTTGAGAAACCGGTTTGTCAGCCAAGCTCCCTGTGAACCATCTCTCTGCTCCAAGCTGCTGCATGTGAGGCGCAGTACTGCCCACTAGGTACTGCCTGCGAGTTCGCGAGCCGCGCGTCAAAACTCTTCCCTGCGGGCCCGTTGCCACAATTAAAGCCTTGGTTGGGTGAGTGTATTACGTTCATTCCCCCCCCCCCCGGGGGCAAGGAAAACATTAGAATGATTTGGAACATGCCCAACCATTGTTTACCTCGGAGTTCAAAGAACACAGTACCACAATGCTTGGGTTCATGTATAACTTTGAATCCCTGCGGTTCAAAGAAGAAAAAGCACGAGTAGACCAATGGTTGAATGGTTGGGTCCGTTCGTAACTCTTGTTTACCCCTCTGAGTTCAAAGAAGACGTTAAAACAATGGTTGGGTTAATTCATCCCTGCGGTTCAAACAAACATTAGAACAATGGTTGGGTCAATTCAGAACCAATGTTTACCTCCGTGGGGTTCAAAGAAACCTCAAAACCATGGTTGGGCTTGTGTATTACCGTTCTTTTCCTCACTAGGGTTCAAAGAAAACACTAACACAATGGTTGGGTTAGTGTATCAATTACCATTCTAGGGTTTAAACAAAACATTAAAACAGTGCTTGGGCTACCATTATTCACCTCTCTCGGGGTCAAAGAAAACATTCGAACAATGATTGGGTTAGTTCACAACCATTGTTTACCTCCCTGGGGGTCAAAAAACATTAGAACAATGCTTGGGCTAGTGTATAGCCATTCTTTACCTAGGGTTCAAAGAACACATTAAAACAATGGTTGGGTTAATGTACAACTTTCTTTGCCTCCTTGGGATTCAAACAACAACAAAATATTAGAACGATGGTTGGGCTAGTTGATAACCATGGTGTACCTCCCTGAAGGTCAAAGAAAACACTAAAACAATGGTTGGGTTCGTGTATTACCATTCTTTGCCTCTCTGGGTGTCAAAGAAAATACTAGAACAATGGTTTGCAAAGTTTATACCCTTTGTTCACCTTCCCGGGAATCCCTATGATTTGCCCAATGGTTGCCTGCCTCTTGCCAGATCAAACTCGCGTTCCAGCAGTTTTTCCGAGGATTCCCTTTAAAATGACCTCCATGAATCGACCTGCTATGTTTCGCGTGGGAAATAACTTCAGAGAAAACCAACACGAGTCACCCTCACCACTCCAAGGCCTTGACACAAGGCCTCAAAAAGAATCTAAACTCACAAGAAAAAACATACACCAAAACAAAATGCGGACGGAAAAGAAGAAGAAGAAAAAGAAGAAAAGAAAAAGAGGAAGAAAAAATAACAGATCCACCAGACACCTTCGGACATATGTCCAAGAGGTCAAAACCCAAATCGTAGCCCCAGTGAACAGCCCAATCCCCACTGAAAATAGAACCTGAAATGGGTGGGTGGCACCTCTATACCCCAAAATCCCACCAAAATAGGTTCCAAGCTGGGCGGCGAATTCACCCCACCCAGCCAACATGGGGATCTCCCCCGTTTCACGACTCTGAGCACAGCCAGATTTCCAGCTCCGAGCTCCGATTCGCCTCGACGCGACGTCCAGCCCAGTGGCCTGCAGCCCTGGATCTTCGCGAAGCGGAGCTGGGTCTCCACCGTGTGCAGCAGCTCGGGCCGACCTGAGCCGCTCGAGAGCCACGCGGCCTTCCGCGCCGGCGGGAGGGGCGGGAGGGGAGGCCTGGAGCATGGCCAAGAGGAAAACGAGGCAGCAGAGAGGCTGGAAAATAAATGAAAATAGAATTTACCCCAAAAAAAGGTAAGAGGGCACTACTGGGAGACCTGGACAAGAACACACCTTCAGGCTTTTGAGCCTTTTGAGCCCTTTGAGCCTTTGAGTCATTTGACATTTGCTTGCTCAACTGCCTCGACACAGGATTGAGTAAATGTTGCTTACAACCAACCCCCGCCGCTCCCAAGTCGTTGATGCTTTTGAAGGGTATGTTGCAACCACCTTCTGGAGGATTGCGTGTTTTCCAGACCCGCTAGGCAGGATCTAAAATCACATGGCACTGCGGGGAGGCATCTCTTTATCGAGGTATTGTAGGTGCAGAGTACCCCAAGACCCCCAATCCAAATATTCAGGCCCTTGTAGCAGTATTTGGCAACCGAGAACTGCAACCCTTGCAAAAGGGGACGTGCGCGTCTCTGGGTGAGAACGAGAAGAGCGAGAAGCTGAAAACCGAAGTCGCTCGGCAAGAGCGAGGCGCTTCCTCGCTAAAATGCAGCTAGAGCTTTGTTTGAAGGATCACAGTGACTTGCACACTGAACTCTAACCAAAACCAAAGAAAAAAGATTGGTAAAAGATTAGTATTAGGTGGAAAACCTCTGGGTTCCGGTAAAATATCAAACCAATTGCTCCATGCAAACTGAGCCAGTGAACCACAAAGGGGCCCTCCGCAAAAGGTCAATCTGGAGGAGAGTGGCCAGCCAGATCGTCCGGGACTCAGCAAAAGACACAGAGCAGCAAGCAGGTGTGAACACCAATCGGGGATCCTTTGGTATGTCGTCTATCGTTCCTGTTGGATGCCCCTGTGGATTTTCAATTGATCGAACCCAGATTTGGGGAATCCAACCATAGGTGTCCTTTTTGGAAAATAGATGGCCCCGGTAGATGATTGAACGACCAGGTAAATCAGGGCCCTCTATTTTCCAACCAAACCAACCATAAAGGACGCCTATGAATCCAACATGTCTGGACATCAGACAAACGTCGGGACTGCCCACCAACTGAGTCGTAGCCAGTCGCCAAGATCTGGAGTTCGTTTTGTTCGCAGAAGCGTGGCACTGCCAAGCCAAGGAAAGCCGTGAGAAACTGTCCAAATTAGTGGGAACCCCGGATTAAGAAACCCATCCTACTACTAGGTCCAAAATCCCAAGGGCACCCATCTTCATGAACTGGGGTAGATTCATCCGGGGTTCCCAAGAGACACATTTTTCTCTTGCCACGACTTACGGTGTTAAAGTCCCTCTCAATCCCATTCCAACTGTTGAACGGTCCTTGTTAGTCAATACAGTCACTATGGAGGCCACGGGGATCCACTGAAAACACCGAGCGAGACACTTGTTGTAACAGATACACACTTGGCGGCTAGATATCCCACTCGAGCAACAAAGAAAGCTGAAACTTGACGGACAGTGGTCCAAAAATCATTTGGCAACAGTAAGACTTCTGTACAATTCCGGATCGAACAAAGCCTAAAGGGACAACATGGAAGTTTCGCAATGACTTTCAAAAGAGAACACCACAAATGACTGGTACACATAATAATCGTCCTAAAGACTGTCCAAAAAAACCCAAGGAAACATAACACCATGAGAAACCTAAAAAACAAAACTCGAACCTGGAACCCAACAACAACAACCTCGAGCATCCCATGAAAAACAGCCCGAACAGCCCGAAACCATTAAAATCAGCCCATCCCCAGCAACCTCGAACCTGGAGAAAGCCTCCGGAACCGGAGGCCGGTTCCAATCTGTCCCAAAATTTCACAGCTTCTTTTTTCGGAGACCAGATGTCCGTAGCTTTCAAGGATCCAAAAGCTTTGGAAAGTGAAAGAATATGATGTAGGTAGGGGGATGGGAAAGATAGAAGTGATTGGACCTTCCCACCAAACTCCTCTCTTCACCTGGTCCTTTCAGCTGGGGAGACAAAAGAAAAATGCCACGGGGGTGCCCTCCCGTCGTGGTTTGTTCTTTTTTGCGGCGCGGGCGGCCCATGTAGAAGGCGATGAAGCCCCGCTCTCTTCCCAGCTGCTCTGAGATGTCCATCAACATCCTCAGCAGAATCCGCTGAACTGAACCCGTGAACCCGCTGAACCCGTGCCAAGGACCAGAAGATGTTCTCTTTGGCTGTCCCAAAAAAAAGATAATGAAGCCCAGGTCAAGAACCAGCAGCCCCTGAACTTCTTCTTAGTCCTGAAAAAGCAAAGATAAAGAAGGCCCCTGAACTTCTTCTGGGTCCCGGGCAAAAAAAAAACGAAGCCCAGGTGGTATCGGAACCCACCAGCTCCGGAACTTCTTTTTGGAAACCTCCGGAACCCTCCTTCTGAACTCCTTCTTTCAGCTGCCCCAAACCACCCGAACGAGCCCCGATTTCTGGGCAGAGACGACATCCATAGCTCTCGGTTGGGCAAAAACGACGCGGGGCACCTTAAAACACACGCATGGGTTCCACTGGCCAATGAACATCGAATCACTCTGGATTAAAGCAAAGGGCTTCCAACTATCCACACCAAGAACACCAAGGATGGATGGAACCCAATCAACGAAAAAGCATGACCCCCATAAACCGACAGGCGCATGTGCTTTTCAAGGGTGGTGCCCTTCCTTGGCCTGGATTCTGAGAGAAAAAAGACACATCGAAACTGACGCCGCGGGATTTCATCGACGCTCTCCACATATCCCCGAATAAAACGCAACAAGAAAGTTGTCTTCTTGTTTCTTTGTATCAGGCCCAGAAGGTGATGCTGACAACTCAAAGAGGAAATGTTGACGGGGGAAGGTTGTTCACGACCGGTCACTTTCGCTGAGGCGTATTTTTGCTGCATGGCTCTCGGAACACCAAGCATGGAGACATCACGCAGCATCGCTGCCGCGGCAACCCACATGAGCCACGGACACGAATGGTTTCCGAAGGGGGGGCGGGAAGATTTGGGGAGTCCCGTCCTTTCGTTTAGGACATAAAAACCGCTCGTTCTCCCATGTCCCTCCCAAATGGGGATATTTGAGACCAAAGCTCAACTTGTGGGCAGGTTTGGCAAAAGGTGAAGTGTTGAAACCAGAAATGGAGGTTCGTCAAAAGTAGGGTCCCTTTTTCGTATCCCCCTTTCAAATGCGGCACGTATCGGCGGCACCCGGTACCAAACGGCTCCATATTCTTGACAACCACTCTTCAGGGCTTGTGAAAGCCGTTTTTCACGGAATCCAAGACCTTTGACGGGTGCCGCAGGCCTTAAAACCCAACCCAAAGGACGGGCTCAAAACAAAACAACTTCCTGCCCCTCCCCCCAGTGCTTTCATTTTGAAAGGCCGAAGGGGAACCTGAGCATCTTTGAACAAGGACCTATGCCTGGCCTACCTCCCACCCAACGTCGGTTGTAATCCTGGAAACTGGCAGAAAAGGGGTAATCCCCCTGACATAGCATGCTTGAACAGGTGGCCCAACCATACAACACCAAGGTGAGTAGCCAACAAAAGCCGAAGGAAGTTGTGAGGCTCTTTCAACAACGAGTGCTTGAGCATGTCTAGACGGGTGTTTGGATCGCACCCTCCAACCGCCCCGATTCGGAACTCAGCCTGCCTCAGCCTCAGCTCGACGGTCGACACACCTTCCTGACCTGAGCTTCGACGCCGTCCGGCCAAACATCGGATCGGATCGCAGGGGAAACGCCCGGAGCATTAGACAATCATGCACCCCGTTTGGGGTTACTTTAGGGGTTGTGGGGTGTTTCCAAGCCAAAAAACAACATGGCTATTTATGGGAATATGCTGTTGGCAACTACTCAGCCTCCACAAAAATAGATCAGAAAAGCCGGACCTCAGGGACCTCGGTGAGCCGGCCGCTTTTTAAGGGTCCCCATTGTACAATAGCTATGCTCACTTCGGGCCCCGCTAGGTCCTCCAGATTTGAGAGGTTAGAGTAAGTTGGTACCCGATTTTTTTCCTGTAGTCGATTTTAGTAGGGGAACCCTCCAAAAGAAAAAAAGGTAAAAGGGCACTACTGGGGGACCTAGCATGTGTTGGTGTCTTTGCGAGTGCTTGTGCTGCTTGTGCTGCTTGTGCTGCTTGTGCTGCTTGTGCTGCTTGTGCTGCTTGTGCTGCTTGTGCTGCTTGTGCTGCTTGTGCTGCTTGTGCTGCTTGTGCTGCTTGTGCTGCTTGTGCTGCTTGTGCTGCTTGTGCTGCTTGTGCTGCTTGTGCTGCTTGTGCTGCTTGTGCTGCTTGTGCTGCTTGTGCTGCTTGTGCTGCTTGTGCTGGTCCTTGCGTTCTTGCGCGTTGCATTGATAGTCGTTTCATCACTTGCAAGAGAGCAACTCGCACACCTGGAGGATGGCCGGGGCAAACAAGCCAAGTCTCGAAAACCTCTGGGGCATCACAATGCCAAGCCAGCGAATGCCATGCGAGGCTATGCAAAAAAACTCACCTCTCGAGTCCGCCAGTCGCAGGGAAGTGTTCCTCATGTTCCTCAGGCGGCTGACCTGCTTCAAACGTCTTGGCGCGGGGTGGCAAGTCACAAAGACAGGGATCCAGCCATCTTCCGGTCCAGAACCCTTCGAAATCTTTGGTGGCCCGTGTTTCCTTCTCATCTCGCGAAGTCGTCTGACTCCGCTCGGGTGGCAAAAAGAACGGAGCTTGAAACCGAGCATTTGGGGATTTCCCACCAAAGGGGATTTTCATGGCCCAACCCCGGGCCGGAACATTTTTCATGGGTACGAGCCTTGCCCAAATGTCCGGGGTAAATCCTGGAGAGGGAAATCCCCGGAAACACCTCGCTCCCGCAGATCTGGTCATTGTTCTTTTTTTTTGACGCCCCCAAAACACCTCACTCCGCCCATTGAAGACCTGGACAAAAAACCAAAGCCAAGGGGCTCCGGATGATCTCGAGACAGCTCCCCAGCAGCCTGATGCAGTCCTGGTTCAGCCGGCAGTAGCCGCTGAAGACCTCCGGAGAACTTTTGGGCAACCGGTGAGGCTGTATGGTTTTTCCCTTTCCGGTTTTAGCTGGGGAAATTTGAGCCCCCCCTTTACTCAGGCAGTTGGTGGTTTGGATTGGTCTGGGGAATTGAAAAACCGGTTCTTGTAAGAAGCGAAACCACCACCCCCGGTTAACCACCAACTGGGTTCCAAAGCGATTAGAGGGAAGCTGAGAGAACGGATGGAGGGAATTCCGCACAGCCGACCACATGGGCGGCTCGTCTTGCTCTTCTCTGTACCCCGATTTTGTGGAATGGAAACCAAAAGGAAAACCAACATGTTTGGGGTGTCCAACCTGAAAGAAGACACGCTCAAATGTTGTTTGAACAATCTCCTTTTGGTTTCCCTTCAACAAAACTGGGGTCTGTACCAACACAATGGCTCTCCTGGAGATTGACATGGAACCAAAAGAATGATGTGTAAAGTAATCGCGTTTTGGGTACCACGTTGATTAGCTGGGGATTCAATGTTTCGATCGAAAAACCATTTCGTTCCGATGTTCTCTCTACAAACCGTGATCCTTTTTTAGGACAATCGGTTTTCCTCACCGAAGGCCACTTCCGCGAATGAACCTCAAGTCCATACGAAGGAAGTGAGGTGAGCGGAAAGTTGCTGAACTTCTCAATCCTATGATTCAAAGGTTCCCAACGCCCTCCCCCCCTTTCATCCAAACATGGCCTCAAGGCTAGAAGTTCGGCCTTTATTTTGGGAAAAGGACGGGGATGAGAAGAATGGGTCAAACCCAATGCCAAAGCGCTGAGGCGTCACCTCTGCTTTCCTCACACTTAACTGGGCTGTCCAAACCGATCCCCCGCTAAAAGTGACTAACTTTTGGGTTAAATGCGGAAACCCAACCACTAAACACTAAAAGGATCAAAAAAGCTGAGGAACCGGATGGCTGGGGAGCCCCCACGTTAAGAAAACCACCCTGAGGCAACCCTCACTGCCGCTGGCGTTCTCAGTCGCCCCCCGAGCCAAACGGGGTCTGCTTTTGGTCGGACCTCTGGAGTCCACACAGCCACTTTTCGAGAGGCAAAACGTCACCGAACTGCTTCTGTTGCACCACTAGGATCCAAGGTGACTCAAGTCCACAAACTCTTCACCCCCCACCCCCACCCACCCACCCACCCGGCACCCAACCCACCACGCGGAGGGTGCCTCGTCAAAAAGCTGCACCAGGCTGAGCTGCCGGGAGTTGCCTCGGCACGATCTCAAGGCCTCGATCTTCACGTTTTGAGCCAGCGGCGTCCTCGTCTCTTTTTCCAACCATGTGGGGTTTGATCAACATTCCCTTTGGCCGGCCCACCCGTTTTGGTCACGTGTTTCGATGTGCAGATTTGTGGCAGAAGAAGGAAAAGCTACCCTTGGTCATTCTGGGGAAAAAAAAGACAAAGAAAAGTCTCACCATCGCATCCGCGGTGCGGCAGAGCTCTCTCAAAGTCTCATTGGCCTGGTGCAGTTGCGCCAGCTGGCCAAACAAATCCTCGGACGACATCCACATCGCGCACGGATCGCGCGCGGATCGTCCCAGTCCGCACCACTCGAAAACGGCCCCATGTCGACCGCGCAAAAAACAAAAAGAAGGACTGATGTAGGGCCTCCAAGCCAAAAAGTAAGGGCTTCACCTAATTGAAAGGAAGGAAAAGAAAGAAAGAAAGAAAGAAAAAAAGGGCGGGGCGGGGCAATTGACTTCCTGGTGCTCTTCAAGATCACAAGAGGTTTGGGAACCCTGGAACCTTTGGATTCCCATAACCAAACGGCAAATCGGATTCGCCGGTCATTCCAACTCATTCCAGCCGCGAAGTTGACCCATGAAGTCTGAAACCCACCGGGTTGCAACCTTGAAACCACCAAACTGGTTCGACAACCTTAGGGTTCATCCGTTGTTTTCAACATGTCAAGCTCTCCATTGGTTTCTCTTAAACCAAAAAACAAAAAACGAGAGGGTTGGTTGACTCAAAATTGTAAGAAACTGCCCCGCAGCCCACACGGATTCGGCCATTCCGATTTGGCCGCGCCGCGCTGCACTCGGGCACAAAGGCCAGCTTCTCCTGAACGACTCACAGCTCAGGGCGTCATGGGTTTCAAGGCGGGAAATGACCCAAAATCTGTGAGAGTCCTGGAAAAAAAAGCAAGGATTTCTAGAGGTGGTCCTTTTTTTTCTCCGAAACACAAAACCCCTGGGCTGTCCTCAAATCCACCACTGAAAGTTGAAAACTTTGAGTGGCGTTAGCGGCAAATACCACTGAACCATCTAAACATACAAAACTACTAAGGAACCATGGCTGGGAACCAAGACATTTATACAGGTTGGTTTGCTCAAAGACAAGAACTGGGCTGTCGAGATACCAACAGGTCACCTCCCATGGAAGTCAACCCAAAGCTCGATGTCTGACATGGCGTTGTCTCTTTGGCTTTCGGCTTCCATTAAAAAGAAAACAATGGAAGCCAAGCAGGGCCCCCCCCCCCAAAAAAAAAAAAAAAAAAAAAAACATACTCATCGTCCCCCTTTTGAGAACGGGACATGTTCAGCGCCAAGGAAACCCCCATCAGCGAGAAGTGCCAAACATGTTTAGGTATCTTTTTCACGGAACCCCAACAAAAGCCTCTCTTTGTGTTTACGTGCCCATAGAAATCCCGAATTTCCCATCATGGGTTCTGCTAGGCTATCAGGTCCTATCGCCTGTGCCGGAAGGCTTGTGCAAGAAGGTGCAAAGTAAATGGACTGGGTTACACAAGCACTCCACTCGACCGCTCGGCAAACGGGTTCGCATGCTACATTTTCCCACAAAGGGTCAAGAATCCTCGACGTCTGCCGGTTAGATTCGGCCTTCTCCCTCGCCATGAGAAAATTATTGCCACTGCCTGAGACCTCAAAGGATCCATGAAAAGGGGTATTCAGCCCTTTGGCATGTGCAAACTTCAGAAGGTCTTTGCCATGCCTTTCGGGAAACAAATGGGTATCCTTTTTGAGGGAACACTTTTTTGAGTGGTTTCAAAGGGAAACCCAAAGCGACACCACCCACTTGGGGGTTCCCCTATTTAAAGACAAACCCATGTGTCAAAAGGGACCTGCAAAATGGGTTCGGTTTCCTTTCGGCTGCGCTTAAAAAACAACCCCAATGTTACCAAGCCGAACAGAATTCGCCCCATGTGCCATGCCTCCCTTCAAACCTGTTCGACCGTCAGTCCTCCAGACGCCGGTAGCAATCATCCGTAGATTTTCCTCGGCAGAGATGCCGATGTTGACCCCGAACTGAACCGCTGTTTCATACAACTGGCGGTTTCTTTGGGGATCCGAATTTCGGTAAATTCTCAAAACCCCGACTTGAGTCCCTGCGAAGCAGGTTGACACACTCAGCACAAGATGTGCGAAGATCGGATCGACGGCTTGGTATGCCTGAAGACTCTCTTCAAAGGCAGACACTGATCCGGAATGTCTTTCTTGAGGGTCTTGTTCGTTCAATGGGAGGTCCAAACCCTGAAGAAAGACACACCCGAATCATAAACTCCTGCGTACAACAGCCAGGCGACCTGTTGCGCACACAGTATCACTGCCCGGTGTTTCTTGAACACCGTGCCACCAGCTCAAGGCGTCTTTCCAACGACTCAGTTGCTTGTTGGCGGCCAGTCGAGCTTGCGAGGAAAAGACTTAAACACTTAAACTTGACCTCGGATTAAAAAGCCTCTGGCTGATGTTCTTGGCACCAAACTTCAGACGGACTCCTTCGCTACGTCATGCTACGTTACATTTCACATGTCAAAAAGGGAACTGCGTGTACATCCGTGAGAGATCAGTTATGTTCCCTTCAGATGGACTCCCGGATACCAACATGGGTCATTCGCATGGTTACATTTGCAGAGGATGATCTTGGTATCACGGAAGAGGCGACAGTCAGGGCGGCCTTGCGGCAACAGTTCAGGAACATGCGCCTCCTGCCCAACCCCACCCAACCCCAACCCCCCACCTGCCCCCAAAAAAACAACCTCCCCCAAAAACACACACACACACACACCACACCACACCACACCACAACACACCACACCACACCACACCACACCACACCACACCACACCACACCACACCACACCACACCACACCACACCACACCACACCACACCACACCACACCACACCACACCACGTCACACACACACACACACAAACATACAACCACACCACACACCACACACCACGCCATCCCCCCTTCAGCGCTTCCGCGCTCCGCGCGTTTGCAACGCCTCGGTTTGTTTGATCGCCCGGGCGGCGGAACCAGACGCAGACGTTCTCCGCCTCGGTGCTGCCGCTCACCAGCCAGCAGCTGGCCCCGCGCCTCGGGAAAAAAACTCCCAAAGGCGGCCGATCCGTGTTTCTCGTTTGGGGCGTGCTCCTTCAACTTGGCTCTGGAGTTTTTTGTTCCCCACCCGACAGGAAGGGGTTGTTAGATTTTACGTTGGAATCCGCGTTTGCGATGCTTCTACACCACGCCCCCACCCAGTATCCCGCCAGAGCAGCTCGCCAGTGGATTCCGCCGAGTGTCCCGCCAGAGCTGCTCGCCAGCGGATCCCGCCGAGTATCCCGCCAGAGCTGCTCGCCAGTGGATCCCGCCCAGTATTCCGCCAGAGCTGCTCGCCAGTGGATCCCGCCGAGTATCCCGCCAGAGCTGCTCGCCAGTGGGTCCCGCCGAGTATCCCGCCAGAGCGGCTCGTGAGTGGATCCGAGTATCCCGCCAGAGCGGCTCGCCAGTGGATCCCGCCGAGTATCCCGCCAGAGCGGCTCGTGATTGGATCCCGCCGAGTATCCCGCCAGAGCGGCTCGCCAGTGGATCCCGGATAAGGCTCTCAATGCAAAGCTTGGTGAGCAGTCATAGGCCCCAAGCCACTCGAAAACCATGTTTGAATTCACGCAAGTGTGCGCACGGTCGTGAGTGTGGAGGGTGGGGATTGCTCGAAGCGATGTATTTGTGTTTTGTTTTTTTTTTGGGGGGGGGGGTGATCATATTGGCTATTATTTGTTTATGGTTCTCCTTCTGGTTTCCTCTTAAATCCACAAACAAATGGGTAGCCTTAACAAAAAGGCTGACATACCCATTTGTGTCCTGTGCCCGCACGACCAGGGAAAAGGGTGCCATTGAACACAGTGAATTAAGGGGTTTGGCTCTAGGAAAAATTTCACTTGGCCGTAGCCTTGCTCCCTTGCGTAACTTGCCTCGTCTGACCAAGGAAGACGGTGGAGTATCCCCACCTATGATTGTCTCTAGGTCCTCCAGATTTGAGAGGTTAGAATAAGTTGGTACCCATTTTTTCTGTAGTGCATTTTAGTAGGGAAAGTCTCCCAACCAAAGAAGAAATGGTTGAAAGGCACCTGGCTGGGGGACCTAGTTTTTTTCTCCGCTTGAAGCCATGCGTCGGGGCTCTCGGCTTTCGTTTTTGATTCCGTAAGGATCGCCGGAGGAAGTGTGCTCGCTCCTTCTTGCTTGCTGGCGCCGGCGCGTCCGGGCTCTTTAAAAGCTCCCCCAACAAAATTACTTCGCTTCGAGCAATCACCACCCTCCACACTCACGAGCTTACGACCGTGAACACGGTTGTGTGAATTCAAGCATGGTTTTCGAGTGGCTTGGGGCCTATGACTGCTCAACAAGCTTTGCATTGAGAGCCTTATCCACCTGTCTGTGCGTCAGACTCCACTTGTCTGCGAGCCGATCTCGAGAACTCAATCATCGGTTCCGTTAACAAAAGCCAAGCCCCTTCCAAAAAGAAACCCGACGGGGGGTTAAACGAAGTTGCTTATTCACAGCCCAAAGCAACACAAAAGCATCACCCTTTCGGAGCCTCAGGGTGCACTCAAAACAAGGCACCAACATGAAATGTAAACCCAACTGTGCGCCGGGCGGGCCATTAAGCAAAACCAAACTGGCGAGCCTCTCTGGCGGGATCCTGGCGAGCCGCTCCACCTTAATACTGCGAGCTACTCTGGCATACTCAGCGGGATACTCGGCACTGGCGGGCTGTTCTGGTGGGATACTCGGCGGGATCCAGCTAATCTGGCGGGATACTTGGCGGGATTCACTGGCGGGGATACTCAGCGGGATCCACTGGCAGTGGTGGGATACTCGGCGGGATCCACTGACGAGCTACTCTGGTGGGAAACTTGGCGGGATCCACTGGCGAGCTACTCTAGGATACTCAGCGGGATACTCGGCGGGATGCGCCGGCGGGCTGCTCTGGTAGGATACTCGGCGGGATCCACTGGCGAGCCGCTCTGGCGGGATCCACTGGCGAGCCGCTCTGGCGGGATACTCACTGGCGAGCAGCTCTGGCGGGACACTGGGCGGGATCCACTGGCCAGCTGCTCTGGTGGGATACTCGGCGGGATCCACTGACGAGCTACTCTGGCGGGATACTCGGGGGGATGTATTGGCGAGCTACTCTGGGATACTCACTGGGATACTTGGCGGGATCCACCGTGATCCACTGGCAAGCCGCTCTGGCGGGATACTCGGCGGGACTCACTGGCGAGCAGCTCTGGCGGGATACTGGGCGGGATCCACTGGCCAGCTGCTTTGGCTGGATACTCGGCAGGATCCACTGGCGACGGGATCCACTGGCGAGCTGCTCTGGCGGGATACTTGGCGGGATCCACTGGCGAGCTGCTCTGGCGGGATACTGGGTGGGGGCGTGGTGTATAAGCATCGCAAACGCGGATTCCAACATAAAATCTAACAACCCTTCCTCTCGGGTGGGAAAAAAAGGCCATGAATCAACTTCCGCTTCCCTACAAAGGAGCGCAAGGCGGGGTTGCAACAATTGCTACCACGATTCGGTAACCAATCCATAACAGAAACCAAAGGGAGATCCAGTGTCAAGGCGTCCCCGCGTCGGTTCAGACGTAGAGCGATCGGCAACGGAAATGGCGATCGGCTGAGCGAAGAACCTTTACAGCAGGTTTGAATGAACTATAGCCAGGGCAACTGTGCCGGCCACTGGCGGCAACAATCCCTCAAATTGGCGGAGTGTAAGTTTTACAGTTGCGGGCTTGTATCCATACGGCCAGCATTGCCACCCAACAGCTTAGAAACCCAAGACATGTTTCGATCAGCGGCCTCCTCTCTCCCTCCCTCGCTACACTTCTTCACCAACAAAGGCTGCAATTTTGCTTCCCAACATTCGGAAACACGCGGCGGTCATCCTCGAAGAGGAATGAAGGGATGCCCCACCAGCGAGCTCCAGTTGGTTGCGGTGCGTATGGAGACCATCTATTGGTTTGCGCCGGGACACCAAACAGAATCGATCTACCCTCTTTCAGGGGGACGTTTCGGGAGAAAACCACGAGGAACATTCAGAACCACGAAAATCCAGCGTAAGTCCAGAGGTAGGCTGCCGTGGGGCGTTCCTTTGTCACGGTTTTCCCTCTAAAGAAGAAGGGAAGAGGCCCGGGGCCGAAACCGGCAATCTTCAAACAATTTTACTCGCCCTTGCATTTGCTACACAGAGATGTGGACACACTTGAACTTGGTATGCATGGAGGTGGCATTCCCAAGTCCAAAGATGCGGCCGGAGCCCCCCCCAAAGGATACAGCCGACATGTTTGCAGCGAATGGGGCGCAAAAATACAGGCCTTTGTGGCATCCCCTGCAACCGTGGCGCAAACATCAGCCAAACAGAGGCCAAGGTGACAGTCCCAGACTGTGTCTCTTCCCGAAAATGGTTTTCGAATATAACTTGCTGGTGCTCAGCAGCGAATCAGGGAATGACCCTTACAAACCATCCCTTAAGGCTTCTATTATTAATTCGGGAATCCCCAGGTTAATCCCCATCCAAAAGCATGACATATAGCGAGCGAAGCCTGTTCTCTCTGCTCAAGTCTCGGTGCAACTATGTCTCTCTGCAACTGTTTTGCGCGCGTCGTTCTCAGCGCAAAGGGTCGTTCTCAATGCAGACGCTTTCGAAAAATGAAAAACCCTAGCATTCTCCCAACTCCCCTTCCCTTCCCCAAAAGGTTCCCCTTCTCCCCCCCCTTACCTCGAAGCCTCTCCCCCCCCTCCCCCTTCCCCCGCCCCATGTTGCCGGGGCCCCCGACTCGCGCTGCAGGGCCTTGCTCAAGTTCTGGGTCTCCAGCAGCAGCTGCATCTCGTTCTCCCGGTCCAACGGAGTCATGGACCGCGTGCTCCTGGCGGGCGGCTTCGGCTTCGGCTGGGCAGGTTGGAAGCTGCGAAACCGGAATGCCCATGTGGCTGTGAAATGGCACCTTGGATGGAACCAAGCACTAAAACCCGCGGTTTGCCAACCAGCTCTGTAAAAATTTTTTGGCCATAGCCATGTGGGTCCGTCCTCTTTTGAGTTGGCACTGCCGCCTGTTTGCGGCTTGAAGGGGAACCAACGGGAAAAGCCGAAGCCATTTTTCAAAAAAGGACACGCCCCTGTGTCTGTTCACCAGGGGGGTTCAGCGAGAGTTCGACTGCTGTGAGGCTTCGGCGCCCAGCGGCAAGCTGACAGGTGGACAGGATGGTCTTGGAAGACTACTTTCCTTTTGGATAAACCCCCCAAGTCCTTCCATTGGCAAAGAAAGAAGAGAACAAATGTGGAGGGCGTGGTGGTTCCTTACCCAAAAGGGGTCGTTGCAAATCTCTTGGGTCGAAACCAGGTGAGAAACAACTCTAGATGGGGTGTTCCTTCAGGTAGCTCCAGGGAAACGGGGATCGTCATCTTCATGGAGTTTTCAGCTTGGAAAACATCCCGCGGCATGGGAGCTGGTCAGATTTTGCCTCGAGAAGTGCCGTTGGTCGCAACCCCCCAAATCGAAACAGAGGGGAACGAGGGGTTGGGCTAGGCAGAAACGGACGAGTCGCCGCCGTGATCAGCTGAACGTGCCCGTCTTGAAATTCGAACTCGAGATGTCGACCCCGGAATCAACTTGCTGGATCAGTAGGCTGATCCAAAAAGTATCTCTGCAAAGGGGCAACCCCCTTTCAACCAGGGGTAGAAAATCCTGGTTCCCATTCAGCATGCGGCCACTGGCGGAAGGGAACGTTGGCCAGAGGCTGAAGCAGGCCATCGCCACTTTCAACGCAAGAAAAGCCTTGTGCCCCCCCAAACAGGGGAACCCAAAAAACAAGGGAACCGCACTAGCCCCAAATAGGCGTTCTTCGTCGCTACTCCTCTATTAAGATTGGGGGGGGGCCCTTCTTCAAGGCCGAAGCTTCTCGCTTCGTTGAGAGTATAATTGCAGAACCACCAACCTCTTTGTGCATTCGGATCCATTTTTCTATGCCGTGGTCCCTCGATCCGAATGTACAGCAAGCAAATGGGATACGCGGCACCTGCCAAGTTTAGCCAGAGATTCCATATTTCCCTGTGAAGGCAAGCAAGGGAACCACCGGTTCAAGACCAAAGGTCTCACACGCCTTTCAAAACCGAAAGGCTACCTCACAAGCCGCGCCCCCCCCTTACCCTGACGGGCCTGCTGGGAGCGAGGGAAGCGCCTGAACCAAGCGATCCGGCCAAGCGCGCAGAATCTTAATTTCGTGATGGAAACAGAGAAAGAAAATGATGAGAGAAAGGGGAAGAGCGAGAGAGAGAAGAGACAAGAGACAAAAGACAAGAGTAAAAAGACAAGAGACAATAGGAAGCAGAGAGGAGAGTGAGCGAGAGTTTTGTTGTCGGGCTTGAAGCTGCTGGCTTCAGATACGGATGCCCCAAATATTGCAAGTAGACCAACCATACTCAACCATGCTCATGAGAGGGTCTCCTGCAATATTGAGTTGGCTGTGGGTCCAAACTAGCTGGCAACCCCAAAACAGGTTGCCCTGATAAAATGGAAACCTGGACTAAAACCTGCGGCTCATGTTGCTTTCCCAGTTGATTTCCGATGTTCAAAAAGCGGCAAATCTTGAACTTCCGGGGCCTATTTTGACCCCTACCCAGTCGGCGTTCTTCTTTCCGCTGATTTCCGCGTTTCTCCAAAAGCGGCCAAAATGTTCGGCAATTTCGTTTTTGACCCATACCCAGTCGGCATTCCCCCCGTTAGTTTCTGTGTTTTGTTCATTTTTGGACAAATTCTTCAATATTTTCGGGGGGCCTCGCGCGCTCAGCCAGGGGTGCTGCGACGCATCCGCCATGGTGAGCCGCTTCTGCCTGGGTTTCGCATGGTCCCAACACAGCAAGGACCGGACCCGATTTCGATGGCAACCCTCCCCAAAAAAAACGGTAAAAGGGCACTACTGGGGCACCTAGATGGGTATAAACCAACCGAACCATTGTTTTGAAGGCTTTTGTTGCACCCTAGACGCATAAACAGTGGTCTTTTCAAATTAAGCCCCTTCAAGATGCGGGGCCACTTTTATGGGTTGCCCACCCCCAACAAGAACAGAAATCGATCCGAGAAGCCCGCAACATGGCGGCCTGGGTCAGTTACCAGCGTCAAAACAGGCTGGCTTCACTTTTGGAAGCACTTGGAACTCACAAAAAGGATTGTTTTTGGGGGGAAACTTGGGTCTAAGAAACCTACTACAGGAAGTTCTACAGGAACCCCCTGACTTTGGTGGGCATTTGGCTAGTTTCCTGTAGAATTTCCTGTAGCTGGTTTCTATGATTGGGGGTCTTGCTAAAATGGACCCAAAGCTATGAGCTGCAACCCAAAGCCGCTGGAAAGGTTCGAAAGGAATGTGTCTCCTTACCCCCATCGTGTCATGTGCTCAGCCTATCTGCTTTCTCCTGCGCCATTTGTTTTCGGATTGTTGTGGCCAGCCATAATGTTGACCCAGGATTAATAAACCAGTCCCATTATTAGGGGGGTGTTCCCTCCAAAAGTGGTCTGAATCCCCACTAAACGGAATTGGACACCCCCCGATCAAAATCAACCAGGGGTTCTGCTTAATCCGGGGTTAACATTACTGGAATGAAGCACATACCGCAACCCACTGCAACATCGAACACTCAAGCCATACCTCTCGCAAATTCCCGCGGAATTTTCAGGACCAACCTCCAGAAACAAAAGCAGCGCGAATTTGGCGGCAAAGCAGGAACCTCTCATTTGGCGCAAGTCCCCGTGAAAAAAAAATAGAACACAAGTGAAACTAAATTCCCTTCAAGACCAGCCGGAAAAAAACAAGAAGAAAAAACGACCACAAATGGAAGTGGATAACCTAAGAACTTCCTTCCCACAAGTTGGAGCATCCGGAGGTCCGGAGCCGAGGAGAGCCGGGAGCCGGGAGCCAAAAACGAGACGTCTGGGGGCCAGGTGGGGATGCCGGACCGACGAAAAGGCACATGGTGGATTCCACGTTGGTGGGAGGGTGTACGTATATATATATATACATATATATATATATATATACATATATATATATATATATACATATATATATATATATGATAATAATACCTGTATATATATATATATGATAATATGTGTATATATATATATGATAATATGTGTATATATATATACACATTCAATAATATAATTATAATATATATATATATATATATGCATATGTATGTGTATATATATATATATACACATGTGTGTTACAAAAATGTTTTTGAAAGCTTTACATGCCCCTCATACACATAATGTTGGGACGATTGGGGGGTATCAGGGTCAACTCTACCACAGCTGTGACGGTCGACGGAAGAAGACATGCGGGACGGATCGACGGGGAAGCCATGGGGTGGATGTCGCTCGAAATCCGAGGACCCCGGCCGACGTGGGACGGAAAAAAATCGAGTCAACCATGCCATGTCCAAAATCCCAAGCAGGGTACAGGTTTCGGGTTCGATTTCCTTTCCTCCGGTTGAGTCATGGGAGTTGCGGCCTAGGCAGCTGGGACAACTCTTGGACCAGCAGAAACAAGGCCATACTGGCGACCCCCCAAAATTGTGGCTTTTGCGTGTGTCTGGTCTTAGATACACCCCCCAAAATGAATGAATATCGGGCCTTCCTTTTTGTCGTCCTTCAAAACTTCCATTTTCTTAAGCCCCAGGAAAGAACAAAAATACGTCCAGTAGTGATACAAACAATCCAAAACAACAAAAGGAAGAAAACGCTCAAGAAAATCAAAAATGAATAAAAATCTCAAGCACCTGGAAGAAAAACAAAACCGCCGCGCCCCTAAGCCCCCAAGCCCCGCTTGGGAAAACACGAGCGTGGAACCAGCGCCTGTGGTTTCGACCGGGAGCCTAAAAAAAAGCCGGGCGGCGGGTCCGGCTCCAAAAGGCCCCGAATCAGATCTTGCACTGACTCGGAGAGGCTGGCCCACTTCGGGTGCTTCTCCTTGGAAGACTTGGGCTCGCTCCCCGACCGGAGGGGGTGTCGAAAACGGGTGGAGGGGGGGGGGGCATCCCCCCCCCAAAAAAAAACAGATTCTCAAAAACAAGGGGGGGGGGGGGAATGCATCCTCCCTCAAAAAAAGGTATGTTTGTGTTTGGTACGGCAAAAGTCAGGGTGTTTGGTACGGCAAAATCAGGGGTTTGCTGAATCAGTTTTTGTTTGGTGTTGTTTTTTTGCCGAATTCGTGTGGCTCACTGCCAATGTACCAAAAAACCGACCGCAAACGAGCCGCTGGAGTTGCTCACTGCCCAAAAAAGAAGTCAAGTCCTGAGTCCTGAATGGGATGGATGGATAAGGAGCAAGATATTGTTGTCCCATACCTCAAGGACCAAAAGTCAGATTCAACCCATCCAAACCAGCTGAGTTCCTTTTTGGTGTTCCTTGGCGTTTCCCTTTGGTGTCCTCTAGCTGAACCAAGGGAAAGCAACGGAACACCAACTGGAAAACCAGGGGGGAAAACCAAGGGACGACCAATGCAAAATTATGGGAAAGCCATGGGAAAACCAAATGGACAACCAAAGGAAACCCAAGGGAAAAGGTGCAAACTCTTCTCGGGGGGGATCTATGTCGCGCCTCAGGGAACGCGCGCCAACGACAGAACTGCCATCCATCTCATTTATCATGGCCGATCAGTTCCAGGAATCGGATCGATCCAGCCTTTGGCTTGCAGCAAAACGGGAAACCCGTATCAGTTGTGGAAAATGTCTCCCCTTTGTACTGACACACCGAAATCTGGAGGCCCACTTGGGCGTGTCGCTTTTTTGGGGGATCTACCAATGCTTCTGGTGTCGGGGAATCCATTTCGGGGGGGGCCCAAACCATTTTTGAGGCTTGCCCGAGTTGAAAATGAAAAAAGGCATCCGGATCATCCCCCCTGCGGAGGTCAGGATGTTTTCCGAAGCCACCAGGTCGCATCCAAGTCGCCCAGAGTTGGGTTTGCCCTTAAAGGTGATCAGGCCTCGATTTGTTTTCGTTAAAGGACACGCCCCCTTATTTTTGTCGCCCTGCCGGGCTCTTGGGTTTCTTCAAATGGGACGCCCAGAGTACCGACGCAAAATTCCGCCCCCGCCCCGCACGCGCCAGCCGGGCCGCGAAGTCCCCGGGCTTGCCGGTCTGTGGCCAGGCCACCAACAGCAAGGCGTACAGGACCACCCCGGAGGCGAAGCAATCCTCGGGCGAGAAAATTGCGCCATGGGGAGCTTTGCTGATTCATGGGGGGCTGTGGGGGAGGGAGGGGGGAGAGGGGGAGGGAGCCCTAAATACGGCCCTACTGTGGATGGACGAAGTCCTGCACCACCTAACAAGCCCTAAATACTCACAAACAATGGTTTCAACCATGGTTTCCAAGTGGTGCGCAATGGATTTCGTCCATCCACAGTATTGAGGCTTAGGGGCTTGAGAAGGGGCATATTTGGGTTCCCTCCCCGTCCCCTCCCTCCCCCACAGCCCCCATTGATGGGGCGAACCTAGGCAAGTGATGGGCAAACAGTTCAACGACCAGCACACAAAAGGTACACCATGAGATACAAACCTAAAAAATACACCCAGAGAAACATCCCGTCATAAAGCTTTGCGCTGTAACCCGCTTACCGTTGCAAGCCCCCTACCTGCAGGGCTTACTCACCATTTAGCCAAGTCCAAGACTGTCGCAGGGGAAACCCCATGAATGTGACCTGAAAAAAGCAAGCACGAAAAGCCAGGCTGCAACACACCCAAAACCAGAGCCGCGCAAAAAAGTGACAGTCGGATAAGCCTCACATACCATTCTTCGCTACAACAGAAGAAGGTCGCCTGTGTGACATACCATTCTTACAACAACAAAAAACTGGTCGCCTTGTCGTGCTTGCGAGATGGCTTTCCGGTTGCCTTCCCTTGAAACCAACGACTCCGGCTGTGCCCAAGAAAGCCCAGCCGGAGCCGGAGCGGACGGGAACCCCCGCTGGAGTGGCTGAAACTCGCAATCTTTTTTTGGTCGACTCCAGGAAAGCCCCCCGCCCCCCCCCCCCCCCCCGAAAAAAATGGGAAATATGTCTGGTAGTGAAATCGATTCCCTTCAAAACCAATAGATGCTTGAAAAAGAGCCGGGCAATGGAAGAAAGGGAAGGACTCGGAGTTTGGCGAGAAGTTGGGTGAGTCACCGTGAGCCGAGGAAATGGCTACAATGGCCCTTGGCAGATCGCAGAGCCGCGGTCTGGCAGAAACTTGGGACTGGCGGACTGGCAGACCAGGATTTCCTGGAAACCCAGGCCAAAGAATCGGAAACATCCGATCTTTTGTCCCTCTGCCACTCAAGTAAACCGCAAAGCCATGGTAGATCACAGGCAAATGAGAGGGTTCCCTTGCTCCCTGACTCGCAATCTTTCGGGTATTCCGGACGAGCCAACCTCGGCCAGGGCGCCAATTTGAAGGCATCGTAGTTCAAGTTGCCCTGCGAGCCAAACCGAGCGCGTTCTCAAAATGACCCTTCAAAAACCCACAAGCACCTCTTGGCTAATATGAGTCTGTCTGTTGTAGGAATCGGACCCCCCAAAATGGAAATGCTCGGTGTTCCTGTTGGTCTCCCTTGAAGAACCCACCAAAACAGAAGGGCCCCCCCAACTCCAAAAAGCTCGCGGAAGCCCCCCCCCCCAACTGGCCCCGGAGCTTTCCATCTCAAGTCGTGGACCTTTTTTTTTCTCAGCCAGGGCGCCAGGAAGCTTGAGGGGCCATGTCTTATGGCTACTTTCTGACTCAGCGGCAGAGACATGCAAACGCACCGTCTTTCTGAGCCAACCCCCCGGGATCGCAAAAATCCTACTCTGATATCGCGAAAATCAAAACGCCGGGTTGGTCAATATTCCGTTCGGCCCCAGAACGACCCTGAGTAATTTTCCCCAGTGAGAGTCATGTGGCCATGGGTCAAAATCCAAATCGTCCCAATCCAAACACTAAAACAGGTTCTAAAATGGGTGGGTGAATTCACCCAATCCAACCAAAATGGTACCCCCAAAATGGGATCCCAAAACGGTTTTGCCCACCACAGCCATGTCTTTGTTGGCGGTTTCCCCAAAAACTGCAACCGTCTCAGATCTTCAGCCAGCGCCGCCCAGGCACACACATCCCACGTACCGATCTTTGTCTGGGTGAATTACAATATGGCTGTGGGTCAAAAAATGGTTTACCCAAAATGGCACCCTGGTAAATGGAAACAAGGACTAAAACCTGTCCCCTGGTGGTTTAATTTTGTCCCCCACACCATATTTCACCGAGCTGAAATTCGGTGGTTGGGGGATATTCACCACCATTTGGGGTTTTTGGTCGTGTGAGGACGATATGATTCACCCAGATCTTTCTCCCAGTAGTGTTCATTGGGTATCAAGCTTTACCCATCCCAACTGCGTGGCATGGATTTTGCTCGTCCACATGAACCCCTGAGGACAAGAATGTGGGGTGAAGCTCCCAGGTATCGTCTGGGTTGCCCTTTCACCGTCCAAAGGGCCACAAGGACTTGGACACCCTAACTTGCCTGACATCATATCCTCATATCCGCTACACCCAAGAATAAGGCGCTCTCCGGTTTAAAAAAATAAAATTAAAAAAAATATCTATGCATATACATATGCATGTGGCTTCGGTTTTCTACGGTTTCAGTTTGGGGTCTTCCTTCCTCACTTGCCCGACCACCCCGACAACCGAGGCCGCCGAGTCCGAGCCGCAGTGATGGCTTCCTGCACCTCTGGGGGGGTGTACACCGAAGTGGTGGTCAGCGTCTTGGCCTCCAGCCCAGCTTCAAGGGGCGGCCATGTACATGGCCCGTCGCCACTTTTTTTTGAGGCTCACCCCCAACTTTGCTGGCGGTCCGGTGCGCCTTTGCTTTGTGGCTTTCATGGGAAGGCAAAATTGAAACCCCCTTCTTCTTTTTGGGGGGGGGTCCATGTACAGCAGGGATTCCTGCTGATGGACGACAGTCGTCATGGGGCTTCTTGCATCCCAGCTGTTGCAGGAGTTGGCCCACGTATGACCTCAACCAAGAAATGCTGTAGGAGTGTCGCCTTTTCTTTGAGGCTCGGTGCCCCTTTGCTCGGTGGTGTTGAAGGGAAACCAAAAACCCATATATCTATATGCTTCAGTATAATGTTATGAAGGCGTGCAAGTGTGAAGATTGACCGCTCTGGTCTGCTCATTCACTTAAAGGATTCTAGGGGGAATGGGTATCATTTGTTGCGGAAACCCAAAAGGGCAAACTTGTTTCCTCGCGGAGTATATATGCATAGTATATGTATATGTAGCCTTATATCCCTTCATGTACCCCATCCACCGGTTGGTGGGCACGCCGCATCTGGCGGGCTGATCCGTGCATGTCACCTTGAAAGTCCGAAGCACCACAAGTCTGGCACGGGGATCACTCTCGTCAGAAACTGTCCGAACAGGGCACTTGGCGTCTCAAAATGGGTTGCTGCACATGCCGCTCGCATCTGTAGCCTTCAGATCCCCTGCTGGGAACCACGAAACCAACGAAGAGATCTAAAACCTGCAGGGACTGGGCGAGTGTCCATACCGCCATTCCGCCAGTTTCCAACCCCCTCCCTTTCAGTTCCTTTCCGTGCTCCTCTTCCATTGGGATTCCTCTGGCTCACCCCCCTTGGCTTTCCCGAGACAGGGTGAGCTGGTGTGTGGTTTCGAGGGTCCCTTTTCACCTTGGCTCAAAGGAAAGCCAAAGATATCCGGAAAAAAGTAGAAACCACCAGCTTGGGAGCGCTTCAGGTCTTATCTTGAGCTCTTGAAACCCATCTTGGGGGAGGTCTTATAGTCTTATCTTGACACATCAGGTCTCTGCGAACATCTCAGGTTGCTCGAAAGGTCCTTTTGCCTTCGTGTCCTCGTAAGGAGGTTTGAACCATCAGGAGTCGCCAACTGCCCCTGCATTGAGTAAGGCAATGGTTAAAAGCCTAAAAAACCGGATGGCTAAAAAAAACCACCAAGAGGGCTTTGTCTCGCCCCTTCACGGGGCAATGTGTCCCTGAGGTTCCAACATGAACCAGCACCGAAAGCTGGGCACTCAAAAAGAAAAGGCAAGCTCGGACATGGTGAATGGAAATTCGAGTTGAGCTCTGTTGGCATGAGTTGTTGAAAGCTAAACTGATGTGTACATAAATTATATTGAAAAGAAAATCAATCCTGCGAAACTTCTGACTTGAAAGAGAGTAATTCTAAGCTCGATTCTAGTCTGAAATAGAAACTATGGTTGGACTGCTTCATTATCAAACTATGTCTAAACTCGAATTGAATTGTAAAGATCTAAGAATCTAAGATATGATGCCCAGTGGAATTATCCAACTTATACATCTGAGATATAATTTCCAGTAGGATTCGGAACAAGTATGTCCTTATTGAGTCCAACTTCAATCCTAGGCAAATTCTAATTGAATCTTAGAGAGCGGCCGTTGGTGGAGGTGTGAATTGAGTATGAAAAATGCTGCAAAACACAGTGTTTTACTGTGCTTTACGGTGTTGTCTGACCATGGTAGTGCTGGGGCTGATGAGAAACACACCATGATGTTGGGACCTCTGCATTCTTTTCTTGTGAGTTTCATTGAATATGTTTATCAAGTTCAACTCAATGTCTAACTGAAATTAAATATGAATTAGTAAGAAAATAGTGCAATCATAATGTCAATTTTGGTTGGAGGTTAATTCTTAAGAAAATGTGTCTTTCAAATTAAGTGGTACACTGGATGTCCTGTTCAAACGAATCCTCGTTACAAATCAGCTAACATTTAAACACGATGTATTCAACATGTTTGGGACCTCTGATTTTTTCTACTTGGTATCTTTATCAAATTCTTCCCAATGTCTATCTGACATTGAATAGAATGCAAGAAGGAAAGAATCCAATCAGCACTTGTATGTTAATATAGAAAATGAATACAAATAATGATTCTATTTCAAAATCAACATTATACGGGATGTCTTTTCCAACACAACCTTCTTTACTAATCAAAACAGTTAACATTTAATGCCGTACCAAGGCTCGCATGCGAGCCCATGTCCCAGTGGAACCACTCCCCAATGCGTCTGAACTTGTTGTTTTGTGTTTGTGTTTATTCAAGGTTGTTTGATTGTTTGGAAGAGCGTGAGAAACCTCGAGAAACCCAAAAGACTAAACAACAAATCGGATCCATGTTCCAAGTCCTGAAACTCCCCAACGGGTTTGAACTGTTTGCTGTGTTTTTGCGTGGTCTAGAGGTTTTTTGCTTCTGCTGGGGATCCCACGTCCCAGATGCAGAGGCACATTCTTCCATGTTTAGCTTCCGTGCTTATGCTCGTGAAAAAAAGCACGCACAGGGACACACACCTGATTACATGCGACTTGAAGACAGTGACCAACCTCAAACTTGCAAATCCTCGGACTAATTACACACTTTCACCTTCTCATCAATGTAATTTTGCCCACTGCTCCAATCGTCGCTGCCATCCAAAGCGATGCCCTTGAGCCCCCAGCATAGCTTCGCATCTGATGCTCCACATGCTGGTCTTGCATCACTGCCTGCCAAATCGAGGAGCAGTCTATTTATGATAAACGTGGGCCTTGCTTGCAGGCTCGAACTGGAAACGTGGGGCTGTTCATGTGCGAGGGAGTAAATGTTCAGCATGTCTGATAAAATCGGGGCCAGCGGTACTGTTCCTTGATCAGGCTTTTTGAATTCGGGGAAAAGGGCGGGGGGGCAGGGGGGGGGGGCGACAAACATGTACGTGAACATGGTGCAATGTGAGATTCGCATTCGGCTTCGAACTTCGAGCCTTGCTTTTCCACCCCTTGCTTTGTGAGAAAGTGAGTGACTCCCCCCTGAAGGAAATCCATGACCCTAGCCCTGTCTTACCACTATAAGGGCCTCAATTATCAGAATGGGGTTGTGAGGTACTTATTACTTTAAACATAATCTCTAGTCCTGATGAAGAAATAATATGGAAATCATATTTCGCTATCCTAAGAATTTGGGGACCTCAAAATGGTCCATTTTGAGATCCAAACCCTTCTAAGGATGCCAAAAACTATGTTTTTTTCCGCATCGCCTGGCCTGGCCAAAGTCGATAAGCTTGATGACAAAAGGCTTCAGACTGGCCACCATGACGTTCTCCAGCTTGATGTCCTTGACCGACCAATTTGCAGCGTGCTTGTGTGGGTTGGTGGCTGGCTGGGTTGGATGGGCGCGGGCGTGGGCGCGTGGCCGTGCGTGGGCGCGCCTGGACATGCGTGGGCGTGCGTGCGTGGGCGTGCGTAGGCGTGCGTGGGTGGGCGTGCGTGGGCGTGCGTGGGCATGCATGCGTGCGCGCAGGCGTGCGTGCATGTGGTCCAAGGGCGCGGGCATGCGGGCCTGAGCGTCCGTTCGTGGGCGGGCGTGCGTGGGTGTGCCTCCGTGTGTGGGTGCGCGGGTGCCTGCAGGCATGCATGCATGCGTGCGAGCGAGCGAGCGAGCGAGCGTGGGTGAGTGGGTGGGCAGGTAGGTGGGTGGGTGGGTGGGTGGGTGGGTGTGCGTGTTTTGAGGGCAGTATATTGAATTACAAGGAAAGCAACAACTTTGAAAGTCTCCGGTAACCGATAGGACCCACACACACACACACATAATGTGTTGTGTTGTCGTCCCCCCGCCTCCCCCGCCCGCGGCCGCCCCGCCTCCCTCCCGTTTTTTTTTGCTGCCCCTTGTAGAAACCATCCAAGGGCTCCATGTCAATTTTGGGAACCCTTGGCTCGGCTGTCTCCTGATTGGTTGGTTCGTTGGTGGGTTGGTGTACCTTCCTAGAAGGACTTGACACAAACCAGCGGCCCTGAAACCGGCAATCCGCCAAGCGGTCAGCTTGGTCCGACGTACAAGAAACAGTGCCTAGGGAACCAAGTTGGTATCATTCTCCCTGTCATTTCCCTTAGTCTCTACCTGGTAGCTGCTTTCCAGGCAAGCCATTGCTTTCGGGATTCAGGAAGCGCAGGATGTTTGTCGCAACAGAAAAATGATCTACCAACCCCTGGCCCCTGGTAAGGGAAAACAACAGCAGGCTCTTCCGCCCTGGTGTGCACCATTTGCCTCAAGGGAATGTGTGTGTGTGTGTTTCCCATGTGGAGGCAACCGAAGCGACTTCTTTGAGCATGGCCACGACTCGATGCAAAGCTCATCTTGGTGCCTCTGAAGGTTTGCCTGTCTAACTTGGGGGCTGATCGCAGGCTTCGCGCCATGCGCGGGTCCGAAACGAGTTGGCCCTTCAGGCCTGGAAAGAGGAAGCCAACACGGAGCCATCCGACTACAAAAAAGTTGAAAACAACGGCATAAACGACGGTGAGCGCTTCGGAGTCGGCTCTGAAACAAAAAAGTCGAAGGAGCCTGTTTTGGGAAGTTTCTGGGGGTCTTTGAACTCAAGATGGTCATAAGAGGATTGCATGCGGGGTGTTGTATTCTGGGCTGTTTATTTCATAAACGTTCTGTAGCGCGGTCTCGTCCGCAAGCAAACAGGGGAGCAACCCAGCGAAGTCACCGACCTTTCCTTTAATGGGGGCAAGGAAAAGCCCCGGGCCTTTCCACTCGCATCCCCCCCTCAGTTGCTTTCTGCGAGGGTCTGCTAAAAGTTGTCCACGCTTGACCCCGTAGTTGGATCAAAAAGTGTTTCAGTCCTAACATCCCTCCCCCCATCCCCCCATCCCCCCATCCCCATCCCCCCATCCCCCCATCCCCCCATCCCCCCGCCCTCCACCATCCCCCCCCCATCCCCCATCTCCCCATCTCCCCATCCCCCCGTCCCCCATCCCTCCACCCTGGCCAAGCAGCCCGGTGCGATACGCCGCGCCGGTGGCAGTGCACCACAGCCATAACCAGCTGGTTGAACGCCTGGCACGGTCTCCGAGTGCGGATCCACGGCTGAGTGGCCGTGGTGGTCAAAACCCGCAGGATCCCATTTTGGGGTGGGTGCACCACCCATTTTAGTCGATTTTGTTGGGATTGGGAGCTCCTGAAGCCGGTCCCGGATGGAGTCCTGCCACCTCAAACCGCTCCAGACGCCTTTCCGGACTGGCAGCCGTGTTTCAGGACACTGCGCCAGACTGGGACCAGCCTGTCCCGGTCCCTGCCGGCGACCGGTCCAGGGCAACTTCGGGAGGGCCAGTTTCAGGGCGCTCCCGGGCCAACTCGAAGTGACTTGGGCGCAAGCCGGCCCAAGCGGTAATTAACGGACTAGCTGCCATATGTCTGACTTTTCCGTTAACCCTTGCTTGTGGTCGTAGAGGATCTTATAAGTGGTCCCTGGGTTTGCGGACGTGTTTCAGGACCGGTCCTTGTGACTTTTCCCTTAATGCGCCGAGGGTCGGCGGCAGCAGGCGGGAGCCTGGTTATACGAAAGATCAACACCAGCCAACATCCCGCTGCTCAAAGTTAATAGTGGAAACTATCACTAAACCAACTAAAAAGGACGGACTGGGAACCGCCAAGAGTTCCGAAGGTCACGGAAAATCAAGCCCCCCCCCCCCATCCTTAAGAAAAACACACGACATAAATCGGTGAGGAAATCGATCAGAAATCCCACGGCGTATCCAAGGCGGGGAAAAAGCGAGCAGCTCGGACATGGTGGGCTCCTGAAGAAGCCCAGATGGTCCCCTTCCCTCAGGAGAAGAAAAAAAAGAGAATCAAATGGGTGGTCAAATCTAGGGTAACCCCAAAAATGGAACCCTGGTAACTAAAGCCGGCAGTCCCCTGGCAATTTGGTTGACCCACGCCCAAATGGAAAATCTGGGATTGCTCGTTCGCCTTGGGCTCTACATTCCGCCCCATCCCTCGCCTCCCGCGCGTCGTGCTCGGTGAAGGGCTTTCGCCTTCGCAACATCTCCGTGAAGAGGTCGTTGCACTCCAGGAGCTGCCTCGGCCAACGCATCCCATGGCAAGAAGCCCTTCCTAAAAATCAAGTCCTTTGCAAATTGACGGGAACCTTAAAAAATTGGGGCAAAACAAAAACTCCTCTAAAGATGAAGGTGTCAGTACCAGAGCATCTGTCACAGTGGGAAACATCCTTCTTGGACGCGGATGCTCCGACCTTCGCTACAAGCTTTGCGAACACCGCTGGGCGAGTGCAGCAAATTCCCAACATGTATTCAAGCCCAACAAGTATCCCAAACAGCCCCGGACCCTCGCTAGAACCTTCAAAGAACCCGCCCCCAGAGACGCCCTACACAAATTCGTTGCCGAACATCCAACAGCTGTCACTGTTGGAAAAAAGGCATGATCGCGGAAGGAAGCCTTCAGAACACATACGGGGACACCGGAAAGCAAACGAAAAGAAAGCTGGAAAGGACACAGCTTGAGGTAGCCTAAAGGTACATGTTACACAAAGTAACAAAGTAAACTTATTAACGAATGAAGATAGGTGGGGACATGAAGAAGGAAGGTCCAGAGACGTCTCAGGCTCTGCGCTATGCGTTGTCCACGATCGTCAGCTGCTAGGGAGCCGAGGCTCAGGCAACACGTGAACAGTGTCCCAAAGTTCCAAAATCCTGGCGCAAAGGCAACTGGAAGCTTGAAGATGGAAGCCAAAACCCGAATGTCCCGCCCATTGCTGCAGATCCCCCGCTCAAAGTGAAAATAACTGTTAGCGAGTTTAACTAGACCACGGTTGGCCCGAAAGCAGAACATCGCAAGCGAGGTCGGCCCAACGCTGCAGATGCGTTCTTTTTCCCTACACGAAGCATTCGTGAAGCAAGCACGAGACAGCACCAGGCAAGGTGCTCTGCGCAAACTGGTCGGTGCAAGTTGGTCTGCGCAAGTTGCTCTACGCAAGTTGCACTGTGCAAGTTGCTCTGCGCAAGTTGCTCCGCGCAAGTTGCTCCGGCAAGTTGGTCCCTGCAAGTGGCTCCCTGCAAGTTGCTCTGTGCAAATTGCGCTCCCTGCAAGTTGCTCTGTGCAAGCTGCTCTGTGCAAGTTGCTCTGTGCAAGTTGCTCTGCGTAAGTTGCTCTGCGCAAGTTGCTCTAGGCAAGGCGCTCTGCGCAAACTGGTCGGTGCAAGTTGGTCTGCGCAAGTTGCTCTGTGCAACTTGCTCTGCGCAAGTTGCTCTGCACAAGTTGCTTTAAAATGCAAGTTGCATCTTGCGACGCCCGCCCGCGGACCAGGGAGGAATCCCGCGACCCGCCGGTTCCGGGAGCAGGCGCGCGAACCACGAGACAACTCCCGAGGACCAGTTCGAACAAAAAAAGTCGCAAAAGCCTCGAGTTTTTGCACCTCGACCACGCCGATTCCCGCAGAGGGTTGCGCGAGCACCGTGGAAATCGCAAAAAACCTCGAGTTTTTGCACCTCGACCACGCCGATCCCCGCAGAGGGTTGCGCGGGCACCGCAGAAATCGCAAAAAACCATGGGTTTTTGCACCTCGACCACGCCGATCCCCGCAGATGCGCGAGCACCGCAGAAATCGCAAAAAACCTCGAGTTTTTGCACCTCGACCACGCCGATCCCCGCAGAGGGTTGCGCGAGCACCGCAGAAATCGCAAAAAACCATGGGTTTTTGCACCTCGACCACGCAGAGGGTCGCGCGGGAACTTTAGAAATCGCAAAAAACCATGATTTTTTGCACCTCGACCACGCCGATCCCCGCAGAGGGTCGCGCGGGAACTTTAGAAATCGCAAAAAACCATGGGTTTTTGCACCTCGACCACGCCAATCCCCGCAGAGGGTCGATTTTCGTGTAGTGTCGTCGGCACTACCCCGCCGCCCTAAGAAGAGATTTTAACTCCTCGCAAGTCAATTGCACTTGACTCCTTGCACTTGCAACTTGCACTTGACTCCTTGCTTGTTTCAAGGAGTCATTGCAAGCAGTCATTGCAAGGAGTCATTGCAAGGAGTCATTGCAAGGAGTCATGCAAGGAGTCATTGCAAGGAGTCATTGCAAGGAGTCATTGCAAGGAGTCATTGCAAGGAGTCATTGCAAGGAGTCATTGCAAGGAGTCATGAGAGCCATTGCAAGTTGCAAGCAAGTGCATGGAGCCAAGTGCATGGAGTCAAGTGCAAGTCGCAAGTGCACGGAGTTAAGTGCAAGTTGCAAGTGCAAGGAGCCAAGTGCAAGGAGCCAAGTGCAAGGAGCCAAGTGCATGGAGTCAAGTGCAAGTTGCAAGTGCATGGAGTCAAGTGCAAGTTGCAAGTGCAGCAGTCAAGTGCAAGTTGCAAGTGCAAGGAGTGCAATGTGCAAGTTGCAACTCCTTGACTCCCAATGACTCCTTGCAATGACTCCTTGCAATGACTCCTTGCAATGACTCCTTGCAATGACTCCTTGCAATGACTCCTTGCAATGACTCCTTGCAATGACTCCTTGCAATGACTCCTTGCAATGACTCCTTGCAATGACTCCTTGCAATGACTCCTTGCAATGACTCCTTGCAATGACTCCTTGCAATGACTCCTTGCAATGACTCCTTGCAATGACTCCTTGCAATGACTTTCATGATGATGATTCCTTGCAATGACACCTTGTAATCACTCTCATGAGAACAACTCAAGTGAACCCAGCGGAAGAACCCTTCGCCATGCTTTCGGGAAAAAAAAAGGAAACCCAACCACGAAACCAACTAACAAATGACTGGGAACCACCAAGATGGGTCATGTCTTCCCCTTAAAAAAAGAAGAAGGTTATAACAAATCGCTGCCCAGAGATATGCTCCGAGCGCGGAGCTTTCCATTTTTTGTGTTTTTTTGTTGTTGTATTGTTCTTTTCGTCTTTTTGTTTTCTTTTTTCGTTTCCCCCCCCCCCCCCCCCCCGGTTTTTTGCGCCCCAAGGCACATGACGATGTAGATCCGCAGCGTCTGCTTGGACACCGCGGCGCAGCGCAGCTGCACGATGTTGGGGTGCCCGCCCAAACACCCCAAGATCTCAGCTTCTTGGAGCATGCGCCTCAGAGCAAAAGAGTGTTCACCCAGCAGCTGGGGCAACAAACACACACCATCCCAAAAGAGAAAAGGAGTCACACGGAACGAGTCGAGTCAGTCGCTGATTGAGTCACTGAACCAGGAGCTTTGGCGAATGTGGCCCCAGCTAAAAATTAGGGGAATGTGGCCCAAGAACGAGCCACAGAAAACCGGCGAGTCACAGCGGTTGTGTAGTTTGGTGGCCCCATCAGTACAAATAGATTGGGGAAGGTGGGGAGGATCGATCCTCAGTGCAAAGGGCTCTTGTTGAAAGACACACCTGCATGGGAGTTCAGAACCAAATCCTGTGGTTTGTCTCAAGCGGAAGTCCCAAAATGGCTGGTTTCCTTTTTGTCTCCTGGTAAATCAACCTCAAGGGCATTTTCAGGGGGTTGAAAAGACAGAAGGAATATAGCCGAAAAACTCCCTACCAGACACGCAACCTAGGAACCTGCCCCAAAGCCGTCTAAAGTGGATGGGCATGTTCATCCAGCCGCTGGGGCAAAAACACACACCATCAGAAATTGCTTCTGCTTTTCACCGCTGTGAGGGCTGTTTCATTTCAAAATCCCAAGATACACAAGCCTAGATGACGGGAACGATAAAGGCGAGGCTTGTGCTCAGTCATCTGTAGGGGTTAATCCGTCGGGTCACAATGATAACAGCCAGGATGGGGATCATGAAAGGAGAAAAGTGATCCCATCATCCATTTCTTGGGCCTGTTAATGACGGGCATGCGATAGCGAAAAGTTGAATCCCCGACAAGAGCTTTTTCATGGCGCCCGAGCTCTGCTTGTTCCCACTCCGAACCATGGGAAGTTGAGTCAGTCCCCTGGTTCTGGTGAAAAATAATTTGGGAGCTCGCTTTCCACGTCGCCCCCAAATGAACCGAAAAATTCGACAAATGAAAGGCTCGACATGGCTGTGGGTAAAAATTAGGTATCCAAAATGGAATCCTGGCAGATGGAAACAATTACCCCTCATTAAAATCGGTTCTAAATCGGGTGGTGAACTCACCCAATCCAACCAAAATGGGAATTCCTAAAACGGTTTTGACAACCACGGCCCACAGATGGCCCAGGCACCGGAGAACAATGTCCTGCGAGCAATTGGTCATCATGGCGATCCTCTCCTAACGCCCGAGATCGAGATCGAGATCTCTCGGGCCAAAGGAAAACACCCCCAGGTGTTCCAAGGATGGTTTTGTTGGCTCCTGGAGCAAATGTCCTTGAACCCTGCCAAGCAGATTTGTTTTCGTTGGCTGAAAATATCTTTGAAATCTGGGGTTTTCGAGGTCCTCCAAATTCGAGAGCTCAGAAGAAGTTGGTACCTACGTTTTCCTTTGTCTATTTTTGTAGGGGAACCCTCCCCCAAAAAAAAGTTGGTAAAAGGGCACTACTACAGGGACCTAGTTTTGTTTGGCTCCTGGAGTAAATGTTTTTGAGGGTCGTGTTCACACTCTCTAGCTTCCCCATTTCTCCCAGGATTTTTGTTGAGAAAGGATGGACACTCCACCACCAGGCAAGGAGTCAATGCCGTGCCCGGCATTTCGCCAAGTTCAGGCAGTGGGAAATTGCAAAGGCATTCGGCTTGATGTTCGTCTGGAGGTTGATTCCAAGGGCTACCGTCCCAGTTCGCAGTTAGATCCTTGAGTTTCTTTCAATCTACAGTTCCTAGTACAAACCTGAATAGGTGCGAGTGAAATTCACCTTCGCCAACTTGCTGCCGAAGAAGGGTCTAACAGTTGGGGACTTTTGAGGGGGCTTTGAAAGGTTGGTCAATCTCTCAACTTCGGCTCTGCCCGGATCCATTTGTGTGACGCGCAGAAAGAAAAAGACGACGTCTGGCGATCTCAGAAAGCACTGCCCCTGGGTCCCGAGCCTCAACTCCTTACTCTGACTGAGCGGCTGTGCTGAGGATCTTTACCGCCGTGGGCTGACCCTCCACGGTACATCGGTACACGGAGCCGAAGCTTCCCTCGCCTCGGAAAAAGCTCGCTCGGCCATGCGCACCGAACATGGAGGCCTTGGGGTTTGATAGACTTGGGGGTGGATCAATACGCCGTTCGGCCCCAAAATGACCATGAGTAACTTTTCCCATGTGGTGAAAGTCGAATCTTTTTGGCGGCTTCCCGAATGGTCACCCCATGTATCATGGACCTTTTGAGATTGACCAATTGTCCAGTTGAAACTCTGGTACAAACCACAGCTTCAAGAAAGCCATGTGTTTTTTGTCTTTTGTCTCATCCTTTGGAGGTGAGTGGCTCGAAGGGCTAAAGGCCAATGCCGTTGCTGGTTTCAACTGAAAGCCAAAGGAAAGTCACTTGGAGGTGAATCGTCAGTGGGAACCCTTTGATGGACATCAAAATTCAGAGCTCGTCCCATCAAGGAGAACAGGATTTCACTTTCCAACTTTTGCGTTTCAGGCCATGTAAGCGACTTATCTTGGAGTTTCAAGAGGGTAAGTTGCTGGTTCTCCATAGAAAGATGATCCAGGGTGTTGGGAATGAACCGGTTTTGGGGAGTCCCAAAAAGGAACCCACATGAGGCATTGTTTCCGGGGGTTCCAACTCATTCCCTGCCTATTGCACCAGCAAGGCAAGGGAGGGAGAGGCGCTTTTCGACTTCTCGCCTTCCAACACGGCCAAGCTGACACCTCCAAAAAAGATTCGGACACTGCCTCCCAGTTGTTCCCTTGGTTGTTTTTGTTGTTGTTGTTTTTTCCCGGACACTGCGCCTAGCAGGGCATTGATCTCATAGCGCTGGGTATTGATGGTGAAGCCATCCTCGCGCGCAAAGCTTTGCTTGGGCCAGCGTTTGGCGCCCCCCCTTTTTTCGTTGCAATCACAGCCATGGCTCCTCATGCAAAAACCTCGCAAGAGCCCAAGCTACTTCTACACAATACAGGAGCCTTTTCCTGGACTCCAGCGGAATCCGATGGGATGCCAGTCAAGCCCGCCCCAGAGTTCTGAAACCTACGTCGTGTAGGTTTTGACCGTGTGTTTAAGTCAACGAAATTCCGTTTCATGTGACTTGATCAAACTCAGACCAGCTGTCGCACTTCCAACCTTCATCTAAGCAGGTTGAACCGCTTCTAACCTCCCTACCCAAATCAACCAAGTCACTTGGTCCTGTTCTCCTTCTATCCTTCACAGCCCTACAAAACCTTCAATGAGGCTGTTTGCTTTGGGAGGAGGGTGATCTAAATTGGGCCAACCATCAGCTTGCAACCCCACTAAGCCTCCACCTCAACCCCACCCAGCCCAACCCAAATGCCATCTCCGGAGCTACTGGACCCCCATGGTTCCCACTGGAGACCCGTTCTTCCGTCCCCCTGAACCCCCCCCCCCCTCCGGCCTCAGACTCCTCAGTCGCCCAGGTGAAGGCACCGCCGAGCTGCAGCTGCAGATTCTCCACCCACTCCTCGGATTCGTTCGAACCTCCCATGGGACGAGTCCAACAACGCCCCCTTCCGCGTACGTCGGGTCGGTGTCCAGACCTTGCCCAGTTCCATCGGGCGAAAAGGAAGCGGCACCCTGGTTGGATTGGCTCAGCTTCGAGGGATCTTGGTTGGTTTTGGCTTATTTTGCTCCATGGGAGCCTGAAAGACGTTCCGTGGGTTGCAGGTCAACCAACCTGTTCCGCCCCTTTTTGCCACAATCACCAGAAGAAGAAAAAAGAGCGCGGTCTGAAAATTTCTAAGGGCCCCTGACCCGAAGCCAAGCAGGTCAAAAATGACCATGGCACCTATCAACATCACCCGCAAAAAAATCCCCAAGACGCGGGATCCGGAAGCCGAAGCCCTGGCCTTGGATCCCACCCCGAGACTCTCAAGCGCTCCGCTTTCCGCTTTCCGCTTTCCTCTCGAGCCATCCGCTCCCTCCCTTGGATCCCAACCCGAATCGACTCGTCTGCTGCCCAGGGGCAGTGCTGCCTAGGCTAGGGCCTCTTCCGAAGGGGCTTCTGAACCTGGGCAACTCAGGCCATGGGCTTTTCAACACCCAAATCGGGTAGCCCCCAGTGGTTACCTCCGATTCAATCCAACCACTAAAATAGGTTCTAAAATGGAGGTGCACCTACCCCAAGATGGTACCATTGGTTTTGACCCACAGCCAGATGTGTACGCGCGTGTTTCTATGTACATGCCCGAAAATTGGCATACCCGTTGATATGTGTACATGCATGTGTATGTGTGTGGGTATATGTGTACTCGTATCTGTGTATATGAGTATACATGTTCAGATGTGGTGTTGGCTTCTGAACTTGGGCAGGTGAACTCTCCGTGCCTCCCATGGCTCGCCAAAGTAGCTGAGATCTCCAAGGATTTCTTGGTTGACGTTGGAAGGGGAGCAAAAAGTTAACTTTTAGTAGTTAAGCGGGGAACCACCAAACCACAACAAGCAAAAAATGCTTCCAATGTTTCCCAACAACAACCATGAATTGGCAGAACTGTCCCACATGTCCTCAAGCATGCGATTTGCTGAAGCACGCGGGCTTGTGATAAGCCTGGCTCGCTCGCTCGCGAGCCGTCGACTCATCATGCGGTCGAGGCGCGCGTCCATGCTCAAAGAGCTCCCACATTGGCACTTTGCCTCTTGGCTTCAGCCAAATGCTGGCGACGGCAAGCGACGGCATTTGGGCCATCTTCAACTACCCTCCCCCAGACTAACATGGAAGCTCCCAGGACCCCTTTGGAAGACTTGGTCAAATTTACAGAGGCATTCTGTTAGTCTGAGGGAGTGTATCCAAGAATCCAAGGTACGAGCTCTCGCCTGCCCAAGGTGGACTGAGGCCCAGGAGAGATTCTAAGTCCGAAAACGGTCACCTCTTTTACCCCTCCCCCTCCCTTCCTTCCCTCGTGCACCGCAGCAGGTCATTTACAAGTCGAATGAAATCAATAATAAAGCCAGTACGTCTTTGGTAGCCTTTTATTAACTATCACTGGAATACTAACCAAAATGTGATTCAAGACTACTAAAGAGTAATGAAGAATCAGGCACAATGAAAATAGCAAAGGTCAAACACATCGAGCAATGCCTTTTTAATGGTAAGAACAATCCGACACTATTGAAGAAAAAGAGCAGTTCCAATTGCTACGAGTATTGCAACTTCATTCACTCCATTCGTTCCTCTAGTATTTAACATGCTAAGGAGATGTTGATATGAATCCAGCCACAAAAAGAAGCTAGCTGGACTAGGTATGAAAAGGAGCTAAGGATGTTGATGTGAGCAAGGAATTCAAACACCAAATGGATCAATACATGCGCATCAGTTCTCCTTGCGGAGGGCTTCGCAACCCGGAGCCCGTCTAAGTTTTCATCGATTTCTTCTGAAACGGTGCCCCCCAAACGGTGCCAAGGACCCTGTCCACCATGGAACCGACCAGGGAGTTTTTTTTCAAGGAACCTGCTAAAGTTCAGGCATCCCAGATTGAGGCAGTCACCGCCGAGGGCGTCAGTCGGATCTGAGCGCTCGAGATGCATCCGTCAACAATAAACGGCTGAAAGGGTGGTTGTGAAATCCAGACATCGCACCACCGTTCAGACACCCTAGTTTCTGATTCAATTCCCCACCGTTACCCACAAACGTTGTGGTTTCAACCATGGTTTCAAAGTGGTGCAGGATTTTGTCCATCTACTTTGTTGCAAGTAAACAAACCACAAGAGATGGTTGAATTTACCAAGGTGTCCCGTGTTCCCTACTTGCAATATTGAGTTGGCATCCACCGTACCCTTTGACTAGTTGAGTGACCTTGCCCCTTGCGATAGAACAGACCCGCGACGAGCCTGCATGCCTTGTTGTTCCAGCTCTTTCAGTGCCCGATTGGATGTGATCTCCCGCTTGTGGAGCCCGCTAAAGTGACATTCCTGATAAAAGCTCTCAAATGATAAGACTCAAAAGTAATCCAAGAGCGCCTCAACGTGCAGGCCTGCGAAAATGTAACCGCAGATCTCCCGCGCAGCGTGGGGAAAAGCATGTCTTCCAACTAGATAACAAACTGTGTTCAGCCCCGCCCCCCTCCCCCCATCATACCCGTGCCATGGACACTTCGAGTTTATGTTGCAGCCTGGAACCCTAAAAAGCAAAATTCCCCAAATGAAGAAGGTGGCAAAATAGACCCTCCCCTTACCTCCCCAACCCACCCAACCCACCCCCCACCTCCCCCCCACTTCCCCCCTCCTGCTCCTCTCCCTACGAACACCAGGTCCCTGTGTCTCCATCATACCCCCCCCAAAGCCCCCCCAAAGCCCCGCGCCGAGTAACTCGGTCAGCTCCTGCGCCGAGCGGCGCCGTGCAGTGCCTCCAGGGCTTCCGCAAGCTGGGGCAAGGGAAGCTGCTCGCCTCGGCCGCGCGCGGAGGATGGTTGGCGCAACATGCGGAGAAGGCGTGGCTCCAAAATCGGAAAAAGGGGGGGGGGGGGGGAAAAGAAACAAGAGGAAAAACCCTTTTTTGTTTTGGTTGAAACCATGGTTGAAACCAGAATCAGGTGGGTTCTGATAATCTGGATGGATGATGGACAGGAAGAGAAGAAGAGACCGGCTCCCCAAATCGATGATCATCTGGATGTTTGCCTCACAAGTTCTACCCTTTTTTGGATCGACACCTCGAGGAATTGGAGGAGATGTCGATCTTTTTTGGGGCGGGCGCCATTTGTGGGGGGCGCGTTTAAGGGAAACCAAACAAAAAGATCCATCCATGTTCGGAAAGCCCCCATGCTAAAAAAAAATGGAAAGCCCCAAGTTTGAGACAAACCCCAAACAAGCGCAGCACATGTTTGGTCATAGTGTTTCATCCATAGCTGTTGGGGGTTTCGGCAGCCTGTGTCCCTTCCCCAAAGGGAGTATTCCTGCACGCAGGTGTGTGGTTTTTGATTGATGTGGATACTGGGGAAGATAACTAGATCGATGATGATGTTAATACTCACTGGGGGATACCAAGCAATAGGTTGGGTTGGCGGGTCCTTCAGTGTGGCATAGTTAGAGCACAATCTATAGCTAGAAGCAGGAGAAATAGCCAATCTCAATATGAATGATAACAATCACAATGAGAATCAGAATGATACTCATCGTGATAATCACAATGACAGCTCAAGGATGGAGTTCATGATAACGTAGTAGATAGAGTCCTCTTCGTTTGTTGAGCAGGAATAGAGAAGCGAGTCAAAATTGGCTCCTACAAGCAGCATCTGATTTGGTGGGAGTTTGGCATCTGGGCACTTGCTTTCTCATGGACTGCTTGGTGCGCTTCTTGTAGTCAAATCACCAGTGTTCATGGTTCTCGATAATCAATGACCCTTTGGACACTTCTGCAGCCACGATTTTTTCATTCACGACCACCAACCACTTGGCGTTGTTCTAGTTTCCCTGTAAAACCAACCCACAGGGGTCAGTCACAAAGTCGAGCCAGGAAGATGACAAAACGCTGCATCACCTGATGTGTTACATGAATTTGTCCAAAACGAAATAAATGATGCAAGAGGTCGGTGATCCATTGCGTCAAATCCAAGTAGCGATTGTTGCGAATGCGGATGTCTCAGGTACTGAAACCCTCGGGCCCCTGCCCAGTTTGGCCGCCGCACCGAAAAGCGGCACACAACAAAGGTGACCGAAACCAAACATTTTTATTTTTTGCCCAAGCAAAGAGCCCAAGCTGCGCCCAGTGGCACGCGACGGAGCAAGCCAGGAAACAAACATATGGCTGTAGGTCAAAAAAGAATGTACAAGAATGGCAACTCGCTAAATGGAGACTAATACTAAAACCTGCGTAACCCCAGGTCTTCGATTTTGAGCCTCACCCGCGTGCTCGCATGCGCAGAAGGAGGCGCGCTTTGAAAACTTTGAGTCGTGGCTTCAAAGGACACCAAAAACCACTAAACCAACCAAAAAAGATCTAAAAGCCCAAGTTGAACCCCACAATTCCCTGAAAAGCCACCCACTACACCAACCAAAAAAAGGGAACCTAAAAGCCCAGGTGGAACCGCACGAAGACGGGCCCACGTCTGGCTTTTTTTCAGGCGAAACGTCCATGGCCAGGACGATCGAAGCCCAGCGACCACGCGAGGGCGCTGCTCGGGAGCCCCGGCGCATCGCCATGGAGAAGAGCTCGTGCAGCGAGGCCTGGCCTGGGCTTCGCTCCAGCGGCTTCGCGCGCGGGAGCGAGAGGCCGGGAGGCCGGGGGTGAAGCGGTCAATCTACCGTGTGTCCCTCTCATGCGGAAGTTGGCGGTTGGCGGGCTGGATTTGGGAGGCAGTACCTGAAGGTCTACTTCCGTGATTGTTGCCAAGAGGGCATGAGAATTAGACCCAGCGGTTGGCCTACAAACTCCCAAGGAAGGCATTCTGAAATGTTGAAACGCACGTACGGTGACCCAATGAAAAAGAGGAAGGAGAGAAGGGGACAGGGAGATAATCCAATTCATCGGCTAGCATTAGAGGAAATCCAAAGGGGGGCCAAATCATGAGCAGAGGAATCCAATTCTCAGTTGCAAAAAGGAGCCTGAAATAAAAGGCGAACCTTTTGGGGTCCTTCTGGGGTCAAAACTCAACTTGGAAACCAAACTGGGCAAAACCAAAATGTTAAAGGTCGGTTTTGAACAAGTGAGAATTGCCAAGAAATTCTTCTGAGGCAGACCCTCCCTGCTCGATTTAGCTTGGTGTCGGGGTTTCAAGACCTGAGCCGATAGACAGGAAAAACCACACCCATACTGCTTGGATCAGCGGCAAATCTGTTTCAACCAGACGCTGACCCTTGTCCTGAGAAGCAAACAAAAACCACGTCCTTTGAAATCAAGGTTGCTTCAACACAAACAAAGGCCGGAACCGCCCCACTTCCGGTTCAGACCTTCAGTCGGCTGGGGCTTGTCATCTCGGGCGAAGATGCGCTCGAAGGAGTTGCGACCTACAGCAAATGGCTGCTGTTGGGTAGGGGTCCGGGTTGGCTTTGTCAGATCGTTCCGATCAGGTCCGATCCGTCCTGCGAATCCCACGCTCCGTCCGACCAGATCCGATCGATCCGATGAGTCCTATCCGTCCGAACCAACCCAGCCCAAATGAGCGCCAGGACGCCCACGAGTGTAAATGAACGGCCTAGCACCTGCATGGCCTACATCACCGTGGCTCATTTGAATTTTATGCGGAGCGTCCCCCCCCCCCCCCCGCAGAATTCATGCAGGCGCCAACCCCCAACATCTCCAGCATGACCAACCTCGCTGGCTACACAGGGAGACGACACCTCAAAAATTGCCGGCACTTCACCCTGTCAACCTATGGTCCGACCTAGGTCCGACCTAGGTCCGACCTTAGGTCCGACCTTAGGTCCGACGGCGGCCTCTCCAGCGGCGTCTACGGCCCCTTGTCCGTTGGCAACAAGCCCCCGCAGGAATGCGGCGAGCTCGTCTTTTCATGCTGAGGAGACGCGTGGTGAGATTTTCTGCGAGGTCGTCTTTGGCCGTCGCCAGCCACAAAAAGGCAAATGTTCTCTGTCACGTGCTTCTGCGCAAGGCTCCACGAGTGGCTCATTTGCGTTTTCTTTCCCTGAAGCGGATCCACATCCATCCTCACGTCAGGCGTCTTCACCCTTTCTTTGTAGCTGGTGTTGCAGTGTAAGTTCTGCGGC